TACATATTAATCTGTATTAGACATTAACAAACTGTAGTCATTTTTAATCTCATTTGCAGAGTAAGAGTCCTCATTACCTTAACACAGCTTGTCACTGTCAGACTGCAATTTTTGTCTGACAGGTGGAAAATGCATCAAGCTTCAACAGCATTTCCTTAATTTACATTTTCTTTTGTGTATGGGTGTGGAGGGTGCTAGGGACTGAGTCCAGGACTGTTATGTAGTTTCTTAAGTGGTGAGAGTAAGGAATTTTTCAATTTTATGGTTTTCTTTTCTGTAAACTGGCTATAGTTCTGTCTATATTTCTAAATTTTTTTAAATTGAATTTTTGTGTTATTTCATACATAAAATCATCTTTATACCCCCTCTCCTTCCCCTCCGGCACCCTCCCACAAACCTGCCCCCCCGCCCCGTAGTACACACATTCTGTCATTTGTATTAAGGCCTATAATGTAAAGTTAGTGTCCCAAGATGTCCCTCAGTGCAAGCTCATCCACTGGGGTTTAGTCAGCCTATCTAGAGCCTTTCCCTTCAAGAAGATCAGCTCTTCCTCACCCAGCAGTAATCAGCTACCAATTCTTCAGTTAAGATAGGGGCTTGCACAGTTCTGTGCTGGGTTTTTGTCTGCCTAAGTTTGCATGGGTCTTGTGCATGCTGATACCACTGCTGTAGATTTGTATGAGAAGGGTCCCAGGAACCTGTAGGACTATTTCTGTATGGTCATTCACTTCCTCCCTGGCTTACAATCTTTCTGTCCCCTCTTCCGCAATGTTCCCTGAGCCCTGGGTGGGTGGACCTCAATACAGGAGTCCTGTCTAAGTACCGACTCTTTATTCTCTGTGTTTTGGCCATTTGTGTTCCTGTCCCTCTGTTGCATGAGGGAGCATCACTGATGAGAACTGAAAGATGCATTAGTGTTCTCTTTATCCCTTGTTCTATGTTCTGTGAGCTTTAGGTGTAGAGGTTGCATCCTAGATGATCCACTTAGGCTTGGGCAAGTCACAGAGAATCTGTGTGTGTGACCAGTGGTGTAACTCTGTTAATAATCTCTGTTTGTTGATAAAGAAGCTACTTTGATGGGTGGTGACTGGGAAACTTGTGTGTAAATTTAAGGATCTGGCTGGGCGTGGTGGTGCAGGCCTTTAGTTCCAGCACTTGGGAGGCAGAGGCAGGCATATCTCTGTGAGTTTGAGGCCAGCCTGATCTACATAGCCAGTACCAGGCCAGCTGGGGCTGCAGGGAGATCCTGTCTCAAAAAAAAAAGATCCACACTTAAGTCCAATTAGGTACCTGTTGATTATCTCCAAGATAACAGTGTTACTACTATACCGATGTCGTTTGCTGTGCTGGTCACTGATATGATTTTTAGGCCTTAAAGCTTGGGTTCGCCCTTACCTACTTGCATAGTGCTCTCCAAAGCTATGAGAGCTGGCCTTCAGGGGAGGTGGCTTCCAGGTCAGATCCAGCCCCATTGTTCTGAATCCTATGTCCAAAGGATGTCCTGTCTTCAGCAATAGGGTCTTCAAGTCCTGGGAGGCAATCAAGGACTGTGGCAATAGCCTGTGTAATTTTGGGAGTCTCTTGGACTACCCTGGCCAACAACTCAAAGGAAGGTTTCTCCTGTCTGGCCATGTTTCTTGTTACGTAGTCTTCAGCTATACTCACGGACTCATGTAGGGATAAGGTATGTGTAATTTTTCAGTAGGCTTTTGGATTAATACGGTTCCCTCTTTTTTTTTTTTTTTTTTTTTTTAACATCAGCAAGGCACTATTTATATCTCCTCTTTCTTTGTCTATTTTTCTATAGGCAACATTGTTGGTTACTAACTGACCTGTAGTTCTTTATGGAATCTGTACATAAATTTCAGTTAAACATATTGCAAATATTTTCTGTGGCTTGTTCATGAATTGCAGACTGGCCTTGTGCATGCCAGGCAAGAGCTGTGTCACTGAGCAATGTCCTCAGGCCTTCTCGTGTTCTCTTGCGGCATTTCTTTAAGTATCTCTTGCCTCTTACAAAAGACAGAGTTTAAGATCATACAGATATTCTTCTGTATTCTGAAAGAAACTTGCTTTTCATGTTAAGCTTTTCATCTACCTAGAATTAATTTTTGCATATAAATCTTAAGAAAAATTCTGCTTTCCCTCTGCTCAGAGAACTCAGTTACTCTAGCACACTGATTCCTGTGTTCCATGAGGAGAGGCTTTTGCCACGCTGTGCTGCCACTGCCTTGGCACTGTCTCTAACAGTACCTCCTGCCAGCTCTGCTTTCACATGATGCAGCAGATGATTAAACTAACTTCTCAGCCTCTACTATTGCCACATCATCCAAGCTACCACATGACTTCAGGTTGGATTATTACAACTTCTAATGTGTGTCCTACTTGTCTGCTTCATGATGCAGCAGGAATAATCCACTTCAGTAAGTCAGAGCATGCTACTCTTCTGCAGTGCCCATCTCCTTTAGCTCTCCTGACCCTCTTACTATTTTTTTCTCTCTTATACTCTTGCCTCCAGACTTTTCTACTTTCATAATTTTATTTATTTTTATTTTATGTGTATCACTAGATTTGCCTGCATATATGCAAGTGAACCATGTGCATTCATGGCCACGGAGGCCAGAAAGGTGTCGGATCTCCTGGATCTGGTTGTTAGCTGCCACGTGGGTTCTGGGAACTGAACCCAGGTCCTCTGCAAGAGCAGCCAGTGCTCTCAGGCTGACCATATCTTCAGCTCCCTTTCCATTTTTAATTTTCTCTCTTTTGGTGGTTCTTTCCCCAGATACATGACATGGCTCACTCCTTCACTCTTCCAGATCTCCTATTTAAAGAAGACACTACGGGGCTGGGGATGTAGTTCAGTGGCAGAAGGCTTGCAAGGCATGTTAAAGGCACCGGGTTTGATCCAGAATGCAAAAACCAAACAAAAATCCCGACAAACTCCAAAACATGATTCTATTTTCTCTACTCTTGGCCACTTTCACCCTCGCACTCACTTCCATCTGACATACTTTGTTTCCTGACTATCTCCTTCCACCAGAAGCAGAAATTTTTTTGTTTTGTTCACTGATATGTTCCCAGTTTTTAGAACAATGCCTGGCACAAAAAAGGTGATCAGTAAATATTTGAAGGACGGAGAGTGGAAGGAAGGTGATGTCCATAGGATTACGTAGGGCTCCTTATGACTTCTCCCTCTTCTTGGAGGTTGTGCACACACACACACACACACACACACACACACACACACACACAGACATGAAATGTGGATCTATTTTTTATGGAGGAAGGTGAGCAACAGGCATGTAAAAGAAAGAATTATACAACCAAAGCTCATCTATAAACTCTAGGGCCCTCTCCTTTGTTACAACAGAGAAGTATGGACTGTCCACACAGACCAAAGAGCAGAGGAGGAAGGGAAGCTGTCACACACATCTTTTCTAGACCATGTGCAGCACACAGAATAGTGTGCTACCATCTCAGCAGCACAAACTGGTTTTAATTTATTAAATACTTATTGACGAGCTACCTTCCTATATACTTAGTAACAAACACTAGGTATTTGGACATAACTTAAGATTTGAGACTCAACTCTTTTGGACGTTTACCCAGAAGTGGGACTGTTGTTTGGAGGAATCATCATGGTCTATTTTTGATAGCTGCTTTATTCTATTATTATTATTATTATTATTACTGTCTGTTTTTGACAGGGTATCCCTAGTCCCAGGTCACCTGGAAGTCACGATGTGGACCAGAGTGGTTTTGATCACAGAGAAATTCGCCACCTGCCTCGGCCTCCCCAGGGCTGGGATTAACGGTACACATCACCATGCCTGGCATTTTTTATTTTAAAAAATATTTTATGTATTATTTTTATCTTATGTGTATGAGCACATTGCCTACATATATGTAACTGCACTCATGTCATGAAATGCTTGTGGAGGACAGAAAAGGGTGTTGGATTCCCTAGAATCAGTTACAGATGGTTGTTAGTTGCCATGTGGGTACTGGGAATTGAACCTGGGTCCTCTGCAAGAGCATCCAATGCTCTTTACTCCTGAGCCATCTCTCCAGCCCCCATTGCATCATTTTTCAAATGTGTGTGGTGCTGGGCATCAAACCTAGAGCCTTCACACATTCCAGACAAGTGCTTGGCCACTAAACTAGTCCCCAAGAGAATCATTTTATAACTTATCATTAGTGCTCAAAAGTTCCAGTTTTCCCACATCCTTCCCAAAAGTTATTTATTTAAAAACAACAACAACAAAATTTTTTTTTGGTCTTTTTGGGCCTCGATCTCACAGAGATCTGCCTACCTCTGCCTCCTGAGTGCTGGGACTAAAGGTGTGCTCCACCATTTATTTATTTATTTTTTTTTTTTTGAGACACAGTCTCCTTGTAGCCCCAGGTGTCCTGGAACTCACTATGTAGATCAGGCTGGCCTCGAACTCACAAAGATCTGCCTGCCTCTGCTTCCCAAGTGCTATCCACCACTTTTTTTAAAGTGTGTGTGTGTCCACATGCCTGAGTGCATGCCATAGTGAGAATGTGGAGGTCAGAGGATAATTGTGAGTTGGTTTTCTCCTTCCACTATGTGGGAGGTGGGGATCAAACTCAGGTTGTCAGGCTTGGTGGCAGGCACTCTTACCCACTAAGCTCAGTCCTATTTTTTTGATAGCTATCTTAATAGGCATAAGGGATTTTAGTCATTTAAAAATTACTACATATACTGAGTCATCTAGCTAGCCCCCACAATAGATTTTAAGCTAGAAACTGTGTTTTTCATTTCTTAAATACTATAAGGGAAAGGAGCATATTTATATAACTTATATAACTTACTAGCTGTGATTCCTTGAATAATTTAATTGCTAAGTTTCAACTGCCTCTCCAGAAGACTGGATAATACATTTAAATTGTCTAATAGAACTGGCAAATTAATAAATACATGCCTCTGTAGAAAGTGTTATCATAAGGCCAGTGAGGAGGAAGAGTAGATACCATACCAATTTTGGTAGCACTATAGATGTTTTCAATAGGAAATATCTCTCCTAGTCCATACAGAAGAACCTTGGCCAGGGCTGGAACCAGCTGGGTGGTAGTGATCAGAACATTCACACAATTCTTTCTAGAAGGGAGCAAGAAGGAAAAGAGAATGGTGAAACTAAGGCAACTTGAGAGCAAGAATTCAAATAGGCCAATGCTTTAGGATCTAATTTAAAAGTATGCCTCAAAGAGCTTGATGCCTTTGTTCACAGTCAATGTTCAACACACACACACACACACACACACACTCTGTACAAAAGGGGGGTGGTAGATGGAGATGGCGACTTTTGAATTCATTTCACTTTTTCTTTTCTGTCTCACAGTGGACACAGCAGTGACTTAATCTGAGCTTTGTTTCCCTTTGGACCACTGTATGTCACTCCAACTTCTTAGCAAATACTGCTAACTCACATTGTTATGGGTACTACACTTTATTTTTGATTCATTTCTTTTTATTCTATGTGTTTTGCCTCCATGTATGTAAGTGCACCCATGTTATGCGGTGCCCCTGTAGGATACAAGAGGGTGTTGGATCCCCTGGAACTGGAGTTTCAGACAGCTGTCAGCCACCATGTGGGTGCTAGGAATTGAACCCAGGTCTTCTGCAAGAGCAGCCAGTGTTCTTAACCGCTGCGCCATCTCTCCAGTCCCTGGATACACTTTAGCAATCTCTGCTCTATTCAATGGGATGAAATTCAGCCCATAAGTGAGGCATGGTTTAAGTTCTCCACTCTTCACGTAACAGCCACTCAGACTCCAGTAGACATGCCAGTGCTGGAAGTCCTTCCCCTCCACTGGGTTTCTACCCTCAGTGTGAGTTTCACTTGTTCCTCAGGTTACAGACATGAAACTCTCCCTCTGAGGGAGGCAAGGAGGGATCAACAGGGTACTGGTACAGATCACTGCTATAATTATTTCCCAGTCTTAGGCTTCAAGGCAAAATTCCCTTAATCATCTTAAAAAATTAAAAACAACAACAACAACAACAAAAACCAATTACTTGTTTTGTGTGTGTGTTGAATTTACTAGGTTTTGTAGCAAGCACCTTTACACACAGACTCATTTTGCAACCCCCTCCCCCAAATCATCTTTTTCTTTTTGGTCTTTTTCCAAATATTTTATTTATTATTTTTATTTTATGTGTATACGTGTATTGCCTGCATGTACATTAGCATACCCGTGTCATGCAATGCCCTCGGAGGACAGAAGAGGCTGTCGGATCCCCTAGAACTAGAGTTACAGACAGTTGTTAGCTGCCATGTGGGTGCTGGGTTTCAAACCCTGGTCTTCTCCAAGAACAGCCAGTGTTCTTAACCGCTGAGCCATCTCTCCAGCCTCTTTTTGAGGGAGGGTCTCCCTGTAGCCCCAGCTGGCCTAGAACCAGGCTGGCCTTGATCTCACAGAGAACTCCCTGCCTCTGCTTCCTAAGTGCTGGGATTAAAGGTGTGTGCCTCCATGCCTGGCTCCCTTAATCTTTTTAATAAATTGTATCCTTTTTTCATTCTATTTTTTGAGATAAGTCTCATGTGGACCAAGCTGTCCTCAAACTATATAGCTGAGGCTGGCCTTGAACTCCTGATCCTCTTGACTCTACCTCTCAAGTCCTGGGATTACAGGTATGCATCATCATGTCTGGCTTGATACTCTTTGTTTAAAGCTTTCTTCCTTTCTTTTTTTGGTCTTTTTGAAGCAGGGTCTCCCTATAGCCCCAGCTGGCCTGCAATTCACTATGTAGACCAGGTTGGCCTTGAACTCACAGAGATCCACTTGCCTCTGCCTCCCAAGTGCTGGGACTACAGACATGTACCACCACACCTGGCCTTTCTTCCTTTCTTAAAAAAATTTTATTTTTATTTTACATGAATGAGTGTATTACCTGCATGTATGTAAGTGCATCTGTGTCATGCAATGCCCACAGAGGTCAGCTGGTTGTTAGCTGCCATGTGGGTGCTGGGAACCAAACCCAGGTCCTCTGTAAGAACAGCCAGTGCTCCTAACTGCTGAGCCAGCTCTTCAGTCACAAATTTTGCTTTCTTGAGTATATCTAGGTATACTTCATGGAGCTTTCTGTACTCAGGATTAGTTATGGTAAGTCTCCTACTTATATGCCTTTATTTTTCATTTCCTAGATTAAAAACTACAGGTTACTGAGTGTGAGTTTGTGAGCAAAAAGTAAGGTGGTATGGGGATTGAAGAGATGGCTCAGTGGTTAAGAGCACTGGCTGCTCTTGCAGAGGACCTGGATTCGATTCTCAGCACCCACACGGTGGCTAACAACCACCCATAACTCCAGTTCCAGGGATTCTGACCCTCTCTTCTGGCCTCCCCAGGCATTGCATGACACGAATGCACCTACATGCATGCAAGCATTACATTCATATATATTAAAAAAAAAAATCTTTTTTTAAAGGAAGGGGTTTTGCATATATTTATGTTGTCTTAAAACTTTAATATTGTATTGTTAACATAAAATGATCTTGCCTCCTAACCTAAAGATTTGAGTCATTTAAACACTTCTAATCCCTATTCCTAAACCCTGTTTTAGGGAATGGCCTGGCTTGGACTAGGATAGGAAACAGTGTCTTTGAGAGGATGAGACGTCAAAGAATCATTTCCGTACCTGGACTGGATGAGAAGCAAGGACTTCAAAGCAGTTCCCAACCAGGAATCTGTTAGAACTTCGATTTCGGCTCTTAGTCTCTGCAGGGCTTCCTTTCTCTGGGGGCTGAGGAGGCCTTTGAAAATAAACAGATACATTTATTATCTGATAACATGTATCTGCTATGATATAGTACTATCAACTTGATGAGATTTAGAACTGCCATGGAAAAAAGTCTCTGGTCACATCTGTGAGGGATGATCTAGATTAGGTTAACTGAGGTGGGAAGACCCACCCTAAATGTTGATGGTACCATGCCATGGGTTGGAGTCCCACCAGAGTAAATAAAAAGGAGAAAGCGGCTGGGCGTGGTGACACATGCTTTTAATCCTAGCACACAGGAGGCAGAGGCAGGTAGATCTCTGTGAGTTCAAGGCCAGCCTGGTCTACATAGTGAGTTCTAGGCCACCTGAGGCTACAGAGAGACCCTTTCTCAAATAAAAGACCCCATACCCAAAAAAAGGTTAGACAATTGAGAATAATAAAAAACAGGTCTCATATGGGTGGGACAGTTGAGTTATAATAGTCAAGCATTAAGTCTGACAGAATTTTTTGTAGTAAAGGTTTTAAAAAAATAGAAAAATAGTTTTGAGGGGCTGGAGAGATGGCTCAGCGGTTAAGAACACTGGTTGTTCTTGCAGAAGATCCGGGTTTGAATCCCAGCACCCACATGGCAGCTAACAACTGTCCATAACTCCAGTTCTAGGGGATCTGACAGCCTCTTCTCTCCTCCACGGGCACTGCACAACACAGGTGCACTTACCTACACACAGGCAATATAAGCATACAAATAAAAGAAAAATAATTAAAAAAAAAATGTCTTGGGGGCTAAAGAGATGGCTCAGCAGTTAAAGCGCATACTGTTCTTCCAGAGAACATGAATTGGGTTCCTAGCACCCACATCAAGTGGCTCACAACTGCCTGGAACTCCAGTTCCAGGGAAACTGATATCTCTGACCCTTGAGGCACTCTGACCTATAGGCAAACACATGTACACACACCTAATTGAAAATAAATTTTAAAGGAAACTTGGGAAATGCAGAGCCTCCACCTCCATTTCTCCCATTCTAATGGCCATCAAATGGAGACTGTTCTTCTTAAAGGGTTTCAATCAGATCTCCATGTTTTTTATTTTTTTGGTCTTTTTGAGACCAGGGTCTCTCTGCAGCCCCAGCTGGCCTCACCTGCCCCTGCCTCCCAAGTGCTGGGATTAAAGGCATGTGCCGCCATGCCTGGCCCTGTTTAAATAGGGTTAAATATGTTACTGTGGCATAAATTCCTAAGCAGGTGACAGGGGATCTAAGGCATCCCTGGAAAGGATGTAGGAGCTCATTAAGAAGCAGGCTTAGACTGGCTGTATGTCACACTTACCACCCACGTTGCTTTTATGCTTGTCATAGATCTCTCTCACTTTTCGGTAGCGGAAAGCCAGTTTCCTCATCCAGTCCACTCCTCCCTGAACACCCACAGATGAACCATGGCTACCACTGCCTCCTGAGCTGCTGAAACCATCTGTTGAGAAACTGTAGTTGCTGCAGAGAGAGGACAGTGATACAGCACAGGGCTTTTAGGTCCAATGTTACCTTAGATTCTCTGCATTCATTTTTTGCATCCAATAAACAAAAATAATGCTGTAAAGAATCTTTAATCTCTGGTTTTGTTTTTTGAGATAAGGCTTCATGTAGCCCAGGCTGGCCTCAAATTCACTATGGAGCTAAAGCTGGATTTGAACTCCTGATCCTCCTGCCTCCACCTCTCCAGTGCTGGGACTACATGCTTACACTATTGTGTGAGTTCTCCCTAATCTTCACATCAGAGTCTGTCTTTACTCCTCTTACCTCACTGCAGCTCATCACAGAAAAGAACCAGGAACTGGAGAGCCCAGCTCAGTGCTGGAACTCTGCCTAGCATGCTTGAAGCTCTAGGTTTAATTACTGCACCAAAGTAGGGGACAAAAGGATATAGCTTGTTGCAGGCCTAGCTGGGCTACATAATAAGATTCTTCCAACTAATAAAAAAACCAGCACTCCTTAGAGGACTTGGGGTATAGCATCTTCTTCCTAATGACAGAATATCATACAGTGAAAAAACAGCATACAAAACTGATTACAACCATGCAAATATGATTACAGCTCTGTAAAAAGGAGAACTAGAGCTGGGTATGGTGGCTAACATCTGCAATTCTGGCACTTGGGAGACTGCAGAAAGAGGATCCATGAGTTTAAGATCAGTCAGGGCTAAGTAGCAAGTTCAGGGTAGCCTGGGCTAGACAACATGACCCTTTTTCAAAAAACATAAAAAGTCAAAATAAGGGTTAATACACCAAATGTGACATTCTATACCTAATAAAGTTGCTAAGACATAAAATAGGCAATTTGGTCAGTCACATGTATAAACCTAAGAGAAAACAGACAAGTTGGGGTTCACAATGGGTCATAAACTGTTTCACACAAGGTTTCCAAAAAAGACAAGTCTCCCAGGCTGTGTGATGCACAACATGCACCATGGCTGCTTCTCTGCACGTGAGAACTTTCCTTTCCTCAGCACTACATGAACAGACATGTCCAGTTCTGCTATGAATTTGAGAATCAAAGACTGAATACTTCATTTTAGTCTAAGCCTGCTTCTTAGAACATTCTACCTATGAAAAAGGATAGAATATTAAAATATATTAACATGGATTATAGGAAGGTCTTTGTATGAAAGTCTTTAAACACAAGGCAGATGTTTGGGTAACTCTTAGTTACGATTCCTGGGCCAAGGCCACTGAAATGGCTCAGTGAGTACAGTAGGTAAAGGCACCTGACATGCAAACATGGTGATCTGTGTTCGATTTCTGGATCCCATGTAAAGGTGGAAGGAGAGAACTGACACCACAGAGTTGTCCTCTGAGCCCCATAAACATATGCCTACATTCATCATACACATGCAATGATAATAAATAACAACAATCTATAAAAAGATCATTGGGCCACAAGACAGTAGCCAAGAAAGGAATGAGGAAACTAGGCTGTCATTGAGACTTCCCTGGTCTAGTTTTCACTGTAATATCAAGTACACCTTTCATAGGGCTAGTCCTAACATCATCAAACTCCCAGTTTCTTGGACAAAATTGTGTGTATCTAAAACTACCCAGCTGAGAAGCACATTTTTCTCTGGACAGAAAATTTATTCAAAAAAAAAAAGGTAGCATATCCCTTACTTTAGAATGCTACTTTCTTGTCCCATTACTGCTATCTGGTAATTCTTTTTTTTTTTTTTTTAAAGTATTTTATTTATTATTTTATATGTATGAGTGTGTTGCCCACATGTGTGTAAGTGCCCCTGTGTCATGAAATGGTCAGAAGAAGGCATCAGATTCCCTGGAGTTATAGATGGTTGTTAGCTGCCATATGTGTGCTGAGCCAGTGCTCATAACTGCTGAGCCAGTTCTAAAGCCCCAGCTGTCTGGTAATTTGTGAGGTCTTGGCTCAAATAGTACTCCACTGAGAAGGCCTCTCCAACACTGGTAACCATCGTCCCCTTACCCATCAGTTGCTTCCTTTTCTGTCCTCCATCACTTTTCCTATCATCACCTTATCATACTGTATGTCATGGGTAACAATATTTGCTTCTTACTCTTCTAATAAAAAGACTCAGCTTTTTAATTTGTCCTGCTCTGAAACCAGACAGTATCTTGCATATAATAGGTGTACTGATATTTAAGACATCACTGTGTTTACCACACCTCAAATCCTGGCCATTGTCATCAGAAGCCACATCTTCCACATGCACCTGGTCACACTCCTGTTAAAAGACAAAACGTACTATTTCACTCCAGGGAACAGAGGTGTTATCACCACCGTGACATACTGTAAAAGGACCACATATGACGGTAGGATGATGAAATACCTTAGTTTTTCTTGTGTGTGGAGCATCTCTCACACCCTTGTTGTCCAACTTCTTTAAGGCTTGATATATATCCCACAATCTTTGTGAAACCTTCCTTAACTGTTCCATCCCTCAATTCTGCTCCTATCTCAACAGGTCATTTTTTTTCAGCCAAGGGAAAACCATAACCTCTCACACTATCAGTGCCACTATGTCCTACATTAGACTATAAATGTGTGTGTATGTCTATGTGCATGTGTGTGCAAGTATACACAAGAGGCCAGAAGAGGGCATCGGATCCCATGGTGTTGGAGTTACAGGCAGCTTTGAGCTGCCTGATGTGGGTAATAGGAGCTGAACTCAAGTCCTCTGGAAGAGTGCAGTGCTCTTAAGCACTAAGCCATCTCTCTAGCTCCCTTTGCATCATTTTAGTGTAATCCAATGTCTTTAATGTAACATGTACCCAATTAATTTTTGTAGATTAAACAGATGCTGGTAAAGTATGGTATCGAAATTGAGTGACTGGAACAGAAATACATAAAAAAATTAAGTATAAGCAAAAGAACAAGGCTGGGCATGTTGGCACACACCTTTAATCCCAGCACTCTGGAGGCAGAGGCAGGGAGATCTCTGTAAGTTTGAGGCCAGTCTGGTCTACATAGTGAGTTCCAGGCCAGCTGGGGTTACGTTGTGAGATCCTGTTTCCAAAAAACCAAAACCAACAAAAAAACCCCAAAACACCACCACCTCCTCAATAAAAACAGGTCATCCAAATCAATCCTTAGATTCTGAACTTGTGCTCTAAAGGGAACTAACTTGATTCTCTCAGGCTCAAAGAACCAATGAATAGGAGAAAGGACTAGAAAGAACGTTAGATCTTCCATGAGGCCCATGCTCTACTGGCATGAATGTTCCCCACGGCTTAACTGTTGCACTCTTCTGACACCACCAGGGCACCTGCACCAGAATCCTCCGGGGAAGGTTTTTAAAAATGCATATTCTTGGGTCCATGACAGATCTCCTTGAACTTCTGGGAGTGAAGTCCTAGAATCTCCATTTTTAAGACACTCTCCAGATGATTCTTATGCCCCTAAAGTTGAAAACACTGACCTGGGGCGGGTTGTGGGGTCGGGGAGCAGGAGCACATTCAGGTCAAATTCTTCACAGAACTTTCAGTCCCGAGTAAGGGTGAAGACTATGTCTAGAAAATCGTTGCAAATTTTGTATGCAGCAGTTTTCAATTAATCTTTGCTGAATTAAAACTATGCTGTCCTAATTTATTAGCAAGTGGAGTGATGATGAAAGCATTATGGAGTTGGGATAGAACCACTGGAGGTTAGGCAAAATAATCTAATTTGCTAGAGACGTAGATACTAATTAAAATATTTTTATTTATTATTTTTATTTTAATGTGTATGAGTATATTGTCTGCATGTATGTGAGCACACCCGTGTCGTGCAATGCCTCAGATGTCAGAAGAGGGCTTTGGACTCCCCTGGAACTGGAGTTAAGGACGGTTCATAGCTGCCACGTGGGTGCTGGGAATTGAACCCGAGTCCTCTGCAAGAGCAGTTAGTGCTCTTAACCACTGAGCCATCTCTCCAGCCCCGAGATGTAGGTTCTATTTAAAGGCTTACTTTGTGTTTGTAAAATGTTCTTTTGTTTTGTTTAAAATCACTATTTTTAAAAAAGTAGGAAATGTACATAGCACATAGTTCAGAAGGACTTAAATTAAGTGCAAACATCTACTCCCTCCCACCTTCCCATTTCCCAGCAGCTGGTTCCTCTAGACAGAACAACTACTATCAGTTTCTAGAATGGGGTGGTTGCTCACCTGAATGCCAGGATAGGAACACACTTTCCAGGCTCCCACTTTGAATCTCTCACACTCTTGGTCCTGTGCTCTTTTCATTATACCAAGTTCACCACAAAGGCAAACTCAAATGGCAAAGTCAAATGATTTTTTACCATGGAGCTTTTAGTGTTTTTGCATTCCTAGCACTAAAATGATTATGTACATAAGCTGACTTATACATAGATAATAAGCATGCATAAAAATACAATGAGAACCAGACTTAATGGGACTCTGTGCCTGTAATGCCCTCATTTAGGAGGCTGAGACAGAAAGACTATGAACGTAAGGTCAACATGTGTTACATATTAAGGCCTTGTCTCAAAAACCAACCAACCTACTCTCCCAAACCAAAAAACACCTAATAAAGCTTCTAGAAGAATATCTTTGCTAATTTTTGGTAGGCAAATAAAACTTTAAACAAGAGACAGAAAGTATTTTGAAAAAAATATAGAACAAAAATACAACAATAATTTATACTTTATTAAAATAAAAAACTGTGGATTTCCAAAAGGCATGGAAAGGTCTAAATTATACTTAAGGAAATATCTGTAATACATATATGCCATAGGCTCATATCTTGGATACATAATAAACCTTTACAAATTATTTTAAAAAGGAAAAATAGTCAATTAAAGTGGACAAAAAAACAGGGCTGGAGAGATGGCTCAGGACCCAGGTTCAGTTCCCAGCACCTGCATGGCAGCTAACCACTGTTCAGGCCCCAGTTCCAGGAAATCCAATGCCCTCTTCTGACTTCTGTGGGTATTGCATGACACAGGTGCACTGACATACATGTAGGCAATATACTCATACTCTCATATAATTAAGAATACAAATAATGAAACCCTTTATCATTTAATACTAATACTGGATTACTGATTTATATGTCAGTGTTTGTTTGGCTTGTACATCAATTCTAAATCAGCTAACCAAAACAAAAATTAACTTTTATTTTATTTTGGTCTCTTTGAGCAGGGTCTCCCTGCAGCCACAGCTGGCCTGGAATTCCTGTGTAGACCAGGCTGGCCTTGAACTCACAGACCAGATTTGCCTGCCTCCGCCTCCTAAATGCTGGGATTAAAGGCATATGCCACCATGCCTGGCTATTTTCTTTTTTTGAGGCAAGTCTTGTACCTCTGATTCTCCTACCCAGCCTCCTGAATATTGGCATGAGAGGTGAGTCTCAGCAGGGTCTTACTATATAGACCTACCTGGCTGGCTTCAAAATCACAGAGATTGGCCTGCTTCTGCCTCCTCAGAGCTGGGATTAAAGGTGTGTGCCACTATTTCCTTCTATTAACTCCTGTGCTTAAAATCTATGTTAGAGATGTCTTTTTAATAAACTCTGTCTTGGGCTAGCTCAGCTGGTAGAGTGCCTGCCTAGGATGCTCACAGCCCTTGGTTCAATTCCCAGTATTTCATAAACTTGGTGTGATGGCACACTTCTGTAATCCTACCACTCAGGAGATGGAGGCAAGGGGACCAGAAGTTCAAGATCATCCTCAGTTACATAGTGAATTTGAGGTCAGCCTAGGCTACATGAGACCCTGTCTGAAAATAAAATAAAACATATTTCCAACTCCGCTAAAAACAAACAAAACCCATCCCATCCCATCCCATCCCAACCCAACCCAACCCAACCCCAAGCCAAGCTAAGCCAAGGTAAACCAAACCAAACCAAACCAAAAAACCAAGTAAGGGTCAAAACTAGGACTATGGTTATCCACCTGTGGCGCATCTCCCTAGATATGACTAGGGCCATTAGCTGCCCATCTTTACCCTGTTTAACACAGCTGCTCCAACTGTATCCAGTCTAATCATATCTTCTAAATACAAGCACAGGTTGCCTAAACAGTTACTGAACAAAAATACCTTACAGAAGCACAAAAACAATTTAAACTGCTTACCTCTAAGTCATTGAAAAATAGGTGTGTATCAGCCACTTCAAAAATCATTTCTTCCATTGTTAAACCTGAGCCAATCACTACTGTAGGGTCCTGGAATACAAAAGAAGGGAACACTGCTTGGCACTCACAGCACTGGCTCTAACGTTCAAAGAATTCAAAATTATTTTGGGCCCAATCCACAACTCCAGCCCACAAAAGTGCTGGATACTTTTAATGTAATTTCATCCATCTTTCCTTCTTTCCTTTCCTTCTTTCCTTTCTTCCTTCCTTCCTTCCTTCCTTCCTTCCTTCCTTCCTTCCTTCCTTCCTTCCTTCCTTCCTTCCTTCCTTCCTTCCTTCCTTCCTTCCTTCTTTCCTTCCTCCCCCCCCTCCCCCGAGCTGTCCTGGAACTCGCTATGTAGACCAGGCTGGCCTCGAACTCACAAAGATCCGCCAGCCTCTGCCCCCCAAGTGCTGGGATTAAAGGCGTGCGCCACCATGCTCGGCTATTTCATGTATATTTATAAGAACCTAGGCTGCAGAAGACAGGATATAGACGGTTATTAATAAAAATTTCTACTTTTAGTTTTTAGAAACTAGTATTTTGATAAAAGGGTCATTCTAACTACTGCTATTTACAACGTGCACCTCCTCTTCTGCCTGAGACACACATAACACCAGACATCTAGCAGCCTTAATAACCTGAAGGTGGCTAATGAGTCAAAATGTTTTCAGGAAAACCATGCAAGTTGCTTTAAAATGAAGAAATGATCAGTCCTTCACTTGAGGCTCAAGTATTTAAAAAAAAAAAGGATTTACTGTAACTTATGCGTGAGTTTGTGTGTGGCCATGTGCACAAGAGTGCTGGTGCCCTCAGAGGTATCAGATCTCTCTGGAGCTGCAGTAACAGGCAGTTATGAGCCCCAGCATGGGTGCTGGGAGCTGAACTTGGGTCCTCTGCAGGAACAATACTCTCTCCATTGCTGTCATCTTTCCAGTCACATTTTAAGTATTTTTGTACCTATTTTAGAATATAGTTTATGAGCTTGTGAATTAGCTGGCCAGCCCACAGAAAAGACTGTGGAAACGTACTCTCAGAAGAAACGCTAATGACAATCCAAAATAATTGGGAGTAGCCAGACAGTAAAAGAGAGTTATTTTTATAAAACTTATTTCCAGAAACTGAAAAACATGATCCTGGAGATGATTTGTATAGAAACACATAGTTCTGAACTCAGGACGCTGAGACAGGAGGAGTAAGTTCAAGAACAGCCCAGGTTACATAAGGGACTCTGTCTCAAGAAGAAATATACAGACCTAGTCTTTAAAAATAAATTTTGGTATACTTTTATTTTCTTATTTTATGTGTACGAGTGTTACCTGCATGTGAGTGCATCACATGCATGCAATGCCCATGGAGGCCAAAAGAGGCATCAGGAACTGCAGTTAAGGACAGTTGTTAGCTGCCATGTGAGTGCTGGGAACCGAACCCAGGGCCTCTGCAAGAGCAGCCAGTACTCTTAACTGCTGAGCCATCTCGCCAGCCCTAGTCCTAATCTTATTAACAACTCATTCTTCTGCTAAAATTAATGTTTACACTAAAGATTAAACATGTTAAACTTTGTTTAGTGGGGGCTATAGGGATGGCTTAACGGTTAAGAACACTGACTGTTCTTGCAGAAGACCCGTGTTCGAATCCTAGCACCCACATGGCAGCTACCAACTGTCCGTAACTCCAGTTCCAGGGGATCTCAGAGTCTCTTCTGTCCTCCTCGGGCATTGCATGACATGGGTGCACTTACCTATATGCAGGCAATACATGCATACACGTAAAATAAAAATAATAAATAAAATATTAAAAAAAAACTCTGTTTAGTATAATTAGCTTTGAAAAAGCACTTCTGCCTATTTTAGAACTGGGAGTAGTAGTTCACAGCTGTAATCCCAGCACTTGGGAAGCTGAGGCAGGAGGATAACTTGGGCTATAGAATGAAACCCTGTCTCCAAACAAAACAAAGCAAACACAACAAAGATTGTATTTTCTTTTTTTTTTTTTTTTTTTTTTTTTTTTTGGTCTTTTTGAGACAGAGTCTCCTTGTAGTCCCAGCTGTCCTGGAACTCACTATGTGGACCAGGCTGGCCTTGAACTCACAGAGGTCTGCCTGCCTCTGCCTCCCCAGTGCTGGGACTAAAGGTGTATGCTACCACACCCGGGCTTGTATTGTCTATTTTAGAAAGATATTCTATATACATTTAATTTACTTCTACCTAGTTTACTTCTAGCTAAATAAAATGCTTATTTTAGAGATTTAAGTCACCTTTCAAAATATATGATCCTGAGATGTCACTTTGAGTCTTATTCCTACGCTTTAATGTTTATAAAATGCAACTTAAAAATACATTTATCTATTTATTTACTTGTGTGTGTGTGGACAGATTGTGGGAGAGAGTTGGTTCTCTCCTACCACGTCGGCTCCAGGGATGAAACTGAGGTCATTAGGCTTGGCGACAAGGGGGTCCCCTGACCTGCTAAATCATCTCATCAGCCCCAAAATATACTCTCAACGAGCTTCAGCTTCACTACTGGCCTAGATCAAATCTCTAGCTTTACCATCAACTCTACTTGATTATGTAGCCTGCCTGGTACAAGCCATCTAGTAAAATTTCATACATGGGAAGTTCAAAGCCAACAGGGAAGGGTTGGGCATGTAGCTCAGTTGTTAGCACTCACCTAGCATTTGTGAGGCCCTGGGTTTGATCTCCAATACTGTTAAAAAATAAAAATAAGACGGGCGTGGTGGCGCACCCCTTTAATCCCAACACTTGGGAGGCAGAGGCAGGCGGATCTCTGTGAGTTCAAGGCCAGCCTGGTCTACATAGTGAGTTCCAGGACAGCTGGGGCTACAGGGAGACCCTGTCTCAAAAAGACCCACAAAAAATAAATAAATAAAAATAAGCCAAAAAGTCAGTAGGGTAAGACAGGTAGAGGAGATGATTTTTCTATCTCAACAGTTGGGAGACTTCGAACATACAGTTGACTGCTCATCTGTCAGAAGAGCGACAGTCACAACAAAGGAAAACTCACATTACCTTTCCATACTTCTGGGCATAGGATCCAGTAAGAAGGGAATGGAATATGATGATGGTTTCATCCAAGTCCCACAGAAATACCCGCTGAGGGGAGAAAACATAAAAAATGAGTATCTTTCAATCACATGGAATAAAATAAGAAACCGTAACAGAAGGAAAACTGGAAAAAAAATCATAAATATGTGGGAGTTGAACAACACAAATTTAAATAACCAATGGGGCAAAGAAGAAATCAACTGAAATTAGAAAATATATTGAGATGAATGAAAACAAATGAGCCGTACTAAAACTTATGAGATTCAGGGAAAGCAGGGCTGAAAGGGAAACTGCAAACGCATACATTAAAGAAGAAGGAAGAGGCTGGGCGTGGTGGGGCATGCCTGTGATCCTAGCCCTTGCAGGGTGAGGCAGGAAGCTCAAGACCAGCTACAAAGCCAGTCTGAGGCCAGCCATGGCTATGTGAGACCATGTCTCAAGAAAACAACAAAACAAATAATAATAGTAGTAACAATAATAATAATAATAATAATAATAATAATAATAAAAGAACGACTGAGGTATGATGGTGCATGCTTGTAATCTCAAATCTTATAAAAGGCAGAGATGGGGGGATGGGGATCACCAGTGGAAGGCCAGCCTAGCTAGGCTACACAAGTTAAGACCCTGTAACAAAGGGAAGAAGGTGGAGGACAAGGAAGAGATGGTGGCAGTGGCAAGTGTCAGGCGAGCACTTATGTTCTGTATGCCCTAGGTTCTGGGTTCAATCCCCAGTACCCAAAAGAAGAAAAATCTCAAATCTATAGCCGTATCATACATCTATGGAACTATGTAGATACCAAACTAAAGCTAGCAAAAGGGAATAATAAAAGTTAATGTGGAGATCCCTAAAAGAGAGGACAGAAGAACAACAGAGAAGCCAATAAAACCCACAGCTGATCTTTGAAACTGCCTGCAGAATGGATGCTTATCAACGTGACTTCAGGGAAACAGAGAAGACATTACTGCAGTCACCAATGAAAGCAGGGACACTACTAGCAATTTCACAGACATCAGAACTATGAATTATGAACAGTTATATGCCAACAAGTTGGATAACTGGATGAAATGGTTTAACTCCTAGAAATATAGAACGCAAAAATACCTAAATTGGCTCAAGAGAAAGGAGAAAATCTGTGTTTTTTTTGGACTTTTTGAGACAGGGTCTCGCTGTAGCCCCCGCTGACCTGGAACTCACTATGTAGACTCACAGAGATCTGCCTGTCTCTGCCTCCCAAGTGCTGAGGCATGTGCCACCACGCCCAGAGGGAGAAAATCTTTTAAGAGTGTAATTTAGTGAGGAGATTGAACCAGTAATTTAAGATACCCAAAAGAGAAAAGCCCAAGACCCAATGATTTCACAAGTGTGTTATAGCAAACATGCAAGAATTAACAACATTCTTCCTAACTGGCCCCTGAAACCACTTGAAGAAGAACACTTTGTAATTATGTAAAGAAGCCAGCATTACTCTAATACCAGACTATTAACACTATAAGAAAACTAGAGCAACTTAGAAAATTAGCTCTTATGAAAATTGGTGCAAAAGCCAACAAAACAGCCACAAGCCATATTCAACAACATATAAAAATAATTATAAATCATGGCTGAGTGGGATCAGTCCTTGGAATGTAAGGATGATTTATTCAACATACAAAATTAATCAGCGTAATATAATAACAGGAAGAAAACACATAATCCTAATTGATATAGAAAATGCATTTAACAAAATCCAGAACACTTTCATGATAAGAAACATTCAACAAAAACTAGGAGTAGGAAAGAATGTTTTCCCAAATGATAAAGGTCATAGATGAGAACTCCACAGCTAAGATCAGTCAATGGTAAAAGACTAAAAGCTTTACCCTTGAGGTCAGGAATAAGCGAAGATGTCAGTTTTCCCACGTCTTTTCAACATAGCATTGGATGTTCTAGCCAAAGCAATTTGGCAAAAAATAAGACAAAACAAAAACTCTAACCGAAAAGGATAAAATAATCAGTGTAGATGACATCATTTTTCATGCAGCAATCTTAACTCACAAAAAATTGTTAAGCGCTAATAAATTCATGAAAACATCAGCTGTGGATGGGTGTGGTGACACATGCCTTTAATCCCAGCACTTGGGAGGCAGAGGTAACTGGATCTCTGAGATGGAGGCTAGCTTGGTCTACAGACCAGCTGGGGCTACTAGAAGACCCTGCCTCCAAAAACCAGAAACAACCCACAAACCAAAAAACAACCCCGTCCCAAAATCAGCTGTGCTTCTGTATACATGTAATAGGTAATCTGAAAGAAAGGCTAAAAGTCAATTCCGGGGGCTAGAGAGATGGCTCAGCAGGTAAGAACACTGGTTGTTCTTGCAGAAGACCTAGGTTCGAATCCCAGCACCCACGTGGCAGGTAACAATTGTCCAGTCCCAGGGGATCCAATAGCCTCTTCTGACCTCCATGGGCATTGCACAACACGGGTGTGCCTATATGCAGGCAAATATATGCATACACATAAAATAAAAATAAATAAAATAAAATAAAATAAAGTCAAATCCATCAAAAAGAACACTCAGGAGTAACTGAACCAAAGAAGCAAAAGATTTGCTGCACAGTATACTAAAAACCATAAAATACTGCTGAAGGGAATTTAAAAAGACATATTTAAATAAATGGAAAATAGAAATATTTACAGATTTGAAAACTTACTATTGTTAAGATGGCAATACTACCTAAACCAAGCTACAAATAATCTTGAAAAAGGTCAAAGTTTGAAGATTCATACTTTTTTTGATGGGGGGCATTGAGACAAGAGTCTCCTTGTAGCCCTGGCTGGCGTGGAACGTACTATGTAGACCAGGCTGGCCTTGAACTCAACTCATAAAGATCCATCTGCCTCTGCTGGGATTAAAGGCATGTACCATCACACCCAGCTGGATTCACACTTTTTAACTGTAAAAGTTATTATAAAACTTTAGAAATTGATGTGATGTTGGTCAGAGAAACATATAGAGCAATGGAATAGAACTCAAACCTAAAAGCAGCCCCACACAATGGTGGCCAATTAATTTTAAAAACAAAGACTTTTTTTTTTTTTTTTTTTTTGAGACAGGGTCTCCCTGTAGCCCCAGCTGGCCTGAAACTCACTATGTAGACCAGGCTTGCCTTGAACTCACAGAGATCCACCTGCCTCTGCCTCCCAAGTGCTGGGATTAAAGGCGTGAGCCACCACGCAGGGCACAAAGACTTATTTTTAATTAGGTGTGTGTACATGTGTGTGCTCGCTGGAGGTGGAGGTACAGGCAGTTATGAGTTCTGTGACATAGGTGCTTGAAACGGAACTCTGGTCCTCTGCAAGAGCAGTATACTCTCTTAACTGCTGAGTCATTTTTCCAGCTCCTATCAATTTTTGACAAAGATTACAAAATTATCCATAGAGGAAAGTGTTGTTCATTCATCCCTGTTCCCTCTGCCCCAGTTGGAGACTGGGGTCTCACACATGCTAGGCAAGGACTCTACTACTGAAGAATATACCTCAGACCAAGGAAAATCTTTTCAACAAATGGCAGAAAATTGGATATCCACATGCAAAAATATAAAGCTAGACCTTATACTATATATAAAATTAAATCATAGTTCTAAAACATCCTAGGCATGGTGGTGCACACTTTTAATCCCAAGCACTTAGGAGGCACACACAGCAGATCTCTGTGAGATCAAGGCGAGCCTGGTCTATATATTGAGTTCCAGGCCAGCTAAGGTGACATAAGACCCTGTTTCAAAACAAACACAAAAACAAAAATAATCTAAAACTTAATAATAAACAACAACAACAACAAAAAAAAATCTTAGAAGAAAACAGATGGAAATCTTTATAACCTTGTATTCCTAAGTATTATACTAAAGCACAGCAATAAAGGAAAACTGGACTTCAGTGATTCAGGGAGCTGGAGAGACGACTCAGTGGTTAAGAGCACTGGCTGCTCTTAACAGAGGACTTGAGTTTGGTTCCCAGCACACACTTGGCAGCTAACAAGAGTTCATAACTCTAGTTCTAGGGTATCTGACACACTCTTCTGGGCTCTGTAGGCATTTCACAACACAAGGTGCACTTAAATCCATGCAGGTAAGACACTCATACACATAAAATATAAGATAAGGGGGCTGGAGAGATGATTCCGCAGTTAAGAGCACTGGCTCCTCTTGTAAAGGATTGGGTTCGATTCCCCAGAACCCAGATGGTGGCTAACAACTCCAACTGTAACTCCAGTTCCGGGGGACTTAACACCCTCTTCTGACCTCCATGGGCACTGCATGACACAGGTGCATCTAGCTATTGAGAGGTCCTAGATTTGATTACTGGAACTACAAATAAATCTATCACAAGGGGGTAAAAGGAAAAAAAGTTGACAACTAGTCCAAAGGAATGGGAGGGAATATTTGCATAGCATATATGATGAGAGTAATAATCTGGAATATATGAACAAAAAACTCAAACCCAATTCAAAACTTGGTAAACGATGTGAATAGATATTTCTTAAAAAAACAAAACAAACAAAAAAAAAAAACAATTTAAGCTGGGCATGGTGGAGCATACCTTTAATCCCAACACTCGGGAGACAAAGGCTGGTGGATCTCTGAGTTCAAGGCCAGCCTGGCCTACATAGCAAGTTCCAGGACAGCTGGGACTACAGGGATATCCTGTCTCAAAAAGACCAAAAAAAAAAAAAAAAAAAAAAAAAAAAAAAAAAAAAAAGAAAGAAAGAAAGAAAAAGAAAAGCTAAATGACAAGTAAGTGCATATGTCATTAGTCATTAGGGAAATGCAAATAAAAACTACAGTCAGATGCCACTTCATATACAATAGGATGGCTCTGATTTTAAAAAGGGCACTGGGGAGGGGGAATAAGCACTGATGCGAATGTGGTCAAATTCTGTTGATGGGAATGTAAAAGTGCAGCCCTAATGACTACTCCGCTCCTCTGTACAAACTGAAAAGAACTGAAGAGGTGCTCAAACAGAGAATTGGTAGTATTCAGAGCAACATTATTCACAATAGTCCAAAGGGGAAAAACTTGAAATGTCCTTCAACTGAGGAAAAGTATAAACAGGATGCAATATGTGCCTGCCCATCACATGGAATATTACTCAGCCACTAAGCCTCTAAAAGCAACAAGATTATGGTTCATGCCACAACACAGATGAATCTTGAAACACCAAGCTAATTGAAATAACTCTGACACAAGAGGACCAATACTGCAAGTTCACACTTAGACATCTAGACTAGGCAAATCCATAGCAGCAGAAATCAGAAGGGGCTGACAAAGGAGGAGTGGGAGCATTACTGATGGTGGCAGAGTTTACTCAGGACCAAGAAAGGTTCTGGAAGCAGGGCATGGTGGCTCATACCTGCAATCACAGCACTCAGGAGAGTGAGGCCCAGGAGCTCAAGGCCAGAGTGAGACCCTGTCTCAAACAAACAAAAACAAAAAAGAAAGAAAATGTTCTGGATGGATGGATGGACAGTGGTGGATATACTTGACACTGAACTGTGTACCCTAAAATGCTAGTCTTAAAAAAATTCACAGAATTTTTGATGTGGGACCTCAGGCAGCTCAGGCTGGCCATTTTCTATGATGACCTGAACTCCTGATCTTCCTGCTGCCACTCCCTGAAGTCTTAGGATTACATGTGTGCACCACATGGCCCAGAGAAAATGGTAGAGTTTTATGTATTGTCTATTTTAGTACCATTTTTAAAAAGAGGGCATGCTTAACTATTCCTAAGAAAGGTAGAACATTAGCTGGTCTTTGATTGCTCCCCAGCAATGGACAGAAAGACAGACTCTGAACAGAGCTTCGTTTAAGAGCATATTTAAATACATCTTTTTCTTTATTAAATAACCACATTATAGAAAAATTGAAACCACAAAAAAAATGTAAAAACTCTAAAATTATTAGAACGTCGCACCTTTTCCTATTCTTTCCAATAATGAATGAACTGTATGTTCATAATAAATTCCTGTGGTGCTGAATTTCAGCACAGAACAAATCAGTGACAGACTCTTTTGGTAGTCACCAGATCTGTTTGTGTGTCTCACAGAGGTGTGGGCTTGAAGCATCTAGTCCTCTCATTTTTCTTCTGGATTTCTAAATGGAAAATAGAATGACACTTACAGCTCCCTCGGCTTTCCGAATAAGAAGCATTGCATTCTTCATGTTCCCTTCTGCATAAAGAGAGTAATTTTTCTTTCTGTTAAAAGGCTGCCTGGTTATCTAAAATTAACAGAAGGTTTCAATGTGGAAAATAACTGGAAGGGAATATGTTAAGTCATACACATGGAGAGATTTTCTTTTTCTTTGTCCTTTCTTTTCTTGGCCAATTAAGAATTAAAGTGGACCCAACAGAGAACATTATCTCTATAAACTTCAGACATATGCTTGATAAGGCAAGGAAAAACAAAGCAGGTAGGTAACTCAAGTGAGCTTCGTGCCATACTTCTAGTTCACTGTCCTGGGAGGAGCTGGCATCAGCTTTCCTCTTGCCCCGGTTCTTGCCGGTCATGTTTTTCCTGGACTGATCATCAGCATCTTTATTTGGTGTAGTCTGGGACAAAGATGGGCTTGTAGAAGGGTCTGCTGGAAGGAAAAGTGAGAAGAGTGTCAGAAATCACAGGCTGTGAGAAGCACATTAGGCAGCGGGTCAGCAAGGCAGGAAAAAAAGATGGAGGAAATGAAGGGATCATGGGCAGGAAAGAAGCCCCTTACATCACAATCTGGCTGGGACTCTGAAGCTTTAACACAATGGACGAAATCAAAACTGTCTACAGAGATAACATCTGTCTTCCTAAAGACATCGCAAATAAAGATATTATGGCTCAGTGGTTAAGAGCATTGACTGCTCTTGCAGAGAAGATCCAGGTTTGATTCCCAGCACCCACACAGCAGCTAAGAACTGTCCTTAACTCCAGTTCCAGGGGAATCCAATGCCCTCTTCTGACCTCCACAGAACTGTACGACATGGGTGCATTCACATACATGAAGTCAATACACTCGTACATACAAAATAAAAATAAATAAAATAAAAAAATAAATAAAACAATAGGTGCTGGAGAAATGGCTCAGCCGTAAGAACACTGGTTGTTCTTGCAGAAGACCCAGGTTCGAATCCCAGCACCCACATGGCAGCTAATAACTGTCCGTAACTCCAGTCCCAGGGGATCAGACAGCCTCTTCTGACCTCCGTAGGCATTGACAAGAGCGCACTTACCTATATGCAGGCAATACACACATACACATAAAATAAAAATAAATAAAATTTAAAAAATAATAAAGTATTCTTAGGGCCAGATTGTAAATTGTGACCTTGAGTTTAACTAAGAGACCACAGCCAGTTTGTCATGTGGGTACTGGAATCCAAACTCCAATCCTCATGCTAAACAAAGCTTTTTTTTTTTTGTCTTTTTGAGACAGGGTCTCCCTGTAGCCCCCAGCTGGCCTGGAACTCGCTTTGTAAAACAGGCTGGACTTGAATGCAGAGATCCACCTGCCTCTGCCTCCCGAGTGCTGGCATTAAAGGTGTGGGCTACTACGTCCAGCTTCCGTGCACTTTTAATTCAAAAAAATTTTTATTTTTCATTTTATGTGTATGATTATCTTGTGTACATGTATGTAAATGTATCACGTGTGTGTAATGCCCCCAGAGGTCAGAAAAGGGTGTCAGATCCCCTGGAGCTGGAGTTACTGATGGTTGTTAGTTGCCATGTGGGTGCTGGGAACTGAACCTAGGTCCTCTGCAAGAGCAGCCAGTGCTCTTAGACATATCCCCCTCCCCCCGTTTTGCTTTTGAGATAGGGTTTTATTATATAGGTAGCCTAGGTTGGCCTCCAATTCATGATATGCCTGTCTTAGTCTTCCAAGGGCTAGACTTACAGGTATATGATATCATATTCTGCTAACTCATTTATTTTTAATTGATAAATAAAAATTATTTTTTTAGTATATAACATTGTTTTGAAATATGTATAGACATAAGTTGTATTAAAATGTAAAGCTGAAAATCAAACTCATAGTTTATGAGAAAACTGTCTTGATATTTCTGGATATTAAAGAATTACTGTTTGGGATGAGAACATAGCTCAATTGGTAGAGTGCTTGCCTAATGTGCATGAAGCCCTGGGTCCCTACAAACACATACATTATATATGCCTATAATTCCAGAAACTGGCAAGAAGATATGAAGTTTAAGGTACATCCTCAACTGGGCAACAAGCCAGCCTAACCCAAAACAAAGGAATTGTTTTAGATGGGATGGCATTGTGGTTATGTTAATGATTACACACCATTTAGAGAACAATGCCCGAAATTTGTGAACAATGAAACAAGATTGCCTATACTATTAATGCTATAGGTGGATAATTATACTATTATACTATTTTGGCAAGTTTTGTCTTGTTTAAAATTCTCCATTGCTCAAAAGCTAAATAATTACTATGAAGACTAAAGATACTTGGAGGCAGGAATGCTGATGCACACTTACAATCCCAGCACTTGGGAGGCTGAGGCAGGAGGAATGTGAATTGGAAGCCAGCATGGCCTTACATATTAAGACTGTCTTAAACACAAAACAAACAAAAAAACAAACAAACAAACAAAGAACAAAGACAATTAGAGAGATGACTTAAGAACAGGGGTGGGGGGTTGGGGGGCGGTTCTGCAGAGGAGCTGGGTTCGATTCCCAGCACCCACATGGTGGCTACCTCCAGTTCTGTAACTCCAGTTCGAGGGAATGTGACGTGCTCTTCTGACCTCTGTGGGCAATGCACAACATGGGTACACCTACCTACATGCAAGCAATATACTCATACACATAAAAATAATAAAAAATAAATTTTTTTTTTTTGGTCTTTTTGAGACAGGGTCTCCCTGTAGCCCCAGCTGTCCTGGAACTCACTATGTAGACCAGGCTGGCCTTGAACTCACAGAGATCCGCCTGCCTCTGCCTCCCAAGTGCTGGGATTAAAGGCGTGCACCACCACGCCCGGCCAATAAAAAAATAATTTTTATTTTAAAAAAAGAACTGAAAAAAAAAAAAGCACTAATACTTGTACTGGTTTCAGTGTTGGGTGAGTTTGAAGCAGTGATCATGTTCATGTTCAATTACTTCTCAGACTGCATAGAAAACCTAAAGTGAGGTAGAGAGATATTTTATTTTACTCTTTAAAATTTTATGCTGACTGTGGTGGCGCATGTCTTTAGTCCCAACCTGTGCCTGCTGGAAGATATGAGAGCCTAGATTCCAATCCTCCTCCAACCACCTCTGCCACCATGCCTCCCTGCTATGATAGATTCTTGCCCCTTTGGGACCATAAAAAAAAAAAAAAAAAAAAAAAAAAAAATTCTTTAAAAAAATTTTATGTGTATGTGTATGTGTATGCCCTGAGTGTGTATGTGTGCAGCACATGCCTGGAGGTGGCTGTGAGCCACCATGTGGGTGCTTTGAACCAAACCCAAGTCTACTGGAAGAACAGCAAGTGCTCTTTTATTTTATTTGAGACAAGGCTTGCAGTCCAAGTTGGCGTTAATTAGCGATTCTCCTGCCTTAGCGTCCTGTATACCGGGATTAAAAATGTACACCACCATGTCTGGTTCAAACATTAGATTTCATCATCAATACAGAGATATATAATGTTTGTGTATACTGCAGAGATCAGGCTGTGTCATGCTCTAAGTTAGTCCAGTTTGTGTAAAACAATGGCTTTCTGACTGTACCTTGTCCTGAGTGACTCCATTTTACAAAGCAGCATTTGGCTGTATTTTGAGTACAAATGCAAGGACAGAATGACTCTGCATCTTGTTTGTACATGTAAACACTACCACCTGTTCACATTGCCCAGGAAGTATAGATTGACAACTTAGATCTGAAAGTAATAAGGAATCACCTATAAACTTATCAAAGCAGATTAGAAACATATAGGCACAAAAAAACCATACTGGAGGGCTGGGGATGTAGCTCAGTTGGCAGAGTACTTGTCTAGGATGCACAAAGCCCTGGGTTTGATCCTTGGCATTGCATAAACTGGGCATGATGGTACATGCCTATAATCCAAGCCCTTGGGAGGTAGAGGCCAGAGGATTAGAAGTTTAAGGCTAGCCTCAGCTATATACTGAGTTATAGGTAACAAACTCAGTACTATACTGAGTTATAGTAACAAACACTCTTAACCTGTCATCTGACCACTTGATATGTACACCAAGGGACCAATAGGTAAAGAATTCCCAAAGAACTCTAACTGTTCCCAGGGTTTCATCTTAGCACACTCTGTGGCCTCCATCAGTCTGTTCATTCATCTGGATCAGTCCTGACCTCAAGGCCTGGCTCAGCTGAGTGGTCTCCTGCAGCTCTCCAACTGGGTTCCTTAGTATCTTTTCTAACCACCTGCAGTGACTCTGCATTTGTATCAGCTTTCTGTCTTTATCTCCAGTAAGATCTGTTGAACTGGGGAGCCACTTTAACTCTTTTGCAGGCATTCTATAACATACACATACATAGCCACTTATCAAGGGAAATCAGGACTACTTGGTAACCAACTAAACTAACATAATTGCGATTTGTTATTCAATAAATTCTGACAGTGTGAAAAAGACACAAATGTGTCTATATTACTTGAAACAGCACACTCAGGACATACATTTAAATTGAATTTGTATATAAAACCTTTATATGAAAGTTTTTTCAAGTAGAAATAATTCATTGATGCATCTCAGAGGTGTTAATCTTCTGAAATTATAACTTTATGACTTTCTTTCTAGGGAAAGGACTATAGCTCAAGATCTTTTTTTTTCTTATGTGCATGAGTGAACTGTCTGCATGTAAGTACACTCGTGTTGCGCAATGCTCATGGAAGCCAGAGGAGGGCATTGAACTGCCAGGAACTAGAGTTACAGACAGTTGTCAGCCTCCATACAAGTGCTGGGAACTGAATCCAAGTTCTCTGCAAGAGCAAGTGCTCTTAACCACTGAGCCATCTCTCCAGTCCTTTACCTCAAAATCTTAAAGAGATTTAAGACATGAAGAACAGCTGCTCTGAGTTCATAGCAGGAGCCTAAAATATGCCTGGACTAAAACTGGAGTGTTCCAACTTTCAGAAAATATGCCCTAATTCTGAAGTTCCCCGTCAAGTGTGTTATACTGCAGGGATATAAGGCACAGTTTGTGTCAGAAACAATCTTTTCATTGTTACTACTTTTCTGTTCTCAACATCAAGTTGACATTCTGCTACCAATGACTCATCAGTCTGTTTCCAAAGTTTAAACCAAGAAGGAAAAGCTTATACCAGAACAAAACCCTCTTTACCATCATCTGGAAACACCTGCAGGATGGAATGCCCTTAAGCCAGTTTTCTGTACTTACCAGAGGAAAGTCTCTGTGTTGCTGGTGCGGGCACCATAGCATTCGGCTTCTCTGTCTGGTATGTGGTAGCTGCTAATGTGGTAGTCTCAGCATCACTGTTAGTCTGGCCTGTGACTCCAAAACCGGAGCTGGGGTAGCAGGCCTGGTACTGATTCTGCCCAAGAATTGTGTAGGTGGGATAGTCCTTGTAGGCCAAAGGGAAGAAAACAAAGACTATTAAAACAGGCATCATTTCAACACAAGAGGCTTTCTTCTCCCTCTTACTCATAATTACTTTCCTAAAGTATTTGACTTCTTATTTATCTTAGCAGTCCCAATGAAACCAATGATTTTCAAACACAGAAACCTGCAGGCCAGGTGTCGTGGCATATACCTGTAGTCCCAGCACTTGGGAGGCAGAGGTAGGTGGATCTTTGTGAGTTCAAGGCTAGCCTGGTCTACATAGTGAGTTCCAGGCCAGATGGGGCTACAGGGAAACCCTGTTTCAAAAAGACCAAAACAAACAAACAAACAAACAAACAAACAAGCCAAACCAAACCTAAGTGCAGAGGGAATGCCTTAGGAGCTATCTTTGGGATGAGGGGAAGGGTGAGGATGAAAAATCCTTTGGGTACTCACACACACATGATGTCCTGTTTACTCTAACAGCTACCCCCACAACCAATTTTATGTCTGACTTTTTGGGGGTATGTGTGTGGCATTTTGAGATAGGGTCTCACTATGTAGCAGTAGCTGAACTGGAACTTGCTATATAAACTGGACTAGCCTTGAACTCAAGAGATCTACCGGCCTTTGCCTCCTGAGTGCTGGGATTAAAGGGGTGCATAACCATGTCCAACATGTCTGAATTTTTATATAAAATTTCTGTACAGAACTTCGGAAGTGACTTTGAACTCAGAGAGATCTGCTTGCCTCTGCCTCCTGAGTGCCAGGACTAAAGGCACGTGCCACCATGCCTGGCTGGTGTTTTTTTTGGTCTTTTTGAGACAGGGTCTCCCTGTAGCCCCAACTGTCCTGGAACTCACTATGTAGGCCAGGCTGGCCTTGAACTCACAGAGATTAGCCTGCCTCTGCCTCCTGAATGCTGGGATTAAAGGCGTGCGCCACCACGACCGGCTATAATATTTTTTAAACAAAAACTTTTTATGTATGTGAGTGTCTGTGTGAAAGTTTGTGCATGTAAGTGCAGGTGCACACAAAGGCCGGAAGAGGGCAGCAGATCCCCTGGAGCTGGAGTTATATGTAGTTGTGGGCCACTTACATGGGTGCTGGAAATTGAACTCAAGTCCTCTGGAAGAGTAGCAAGAACTCTTAATCTTTGAGCTATCTCTCCAGCCTTCCACCTTATTTTCTGAGATATTTTGGCTAGACTGGCTGGCCAGCAAGGCCCCTTGGACCCACTCACCTCTGTCTACCAGAACTGGGGTTACAGGTGCATGGAGCCATATCCAGCTTTTACATGGGTGGTAGGGATCCAAATTCAGGTCCTCATGCTTACATGGCAAACACTACTTACTGAGACACTTCCCTAGCCCCTAGGAAGCTTCTACTCTTCAAAGACATTTATGAACCACTGTACTAGATGGTAGTGCTTTTAAGGACAACTGAACTTAAATTAACAAAAATGTCTATGGCCTGGAATATGCCTGTAATCCCAGTACTTGGGGAGGTAGCCTGAAGGATTTAAGAATTCAAGGTCAACCTGGCAACACTATGAGTTCAAGATCATCCCGGGTTGCAAAAGGAGACCCTGTCTCAAAAAAATTAAAATAAAAACAAACAAGAACAAAGGAATAACCCAACACCAAAATTTTCCAGTTTCAAAACTGATTTAAAAAAAAAAGAAAAGAAAAGAAAAAAAATCTAGCTTTCAGTTAAAATAAAGTTTCTCGCCAGGTGTGTTGGTGCAAACCTTTAATCCCAATACTCAGGAGGCAGAGACAGCCTGATCTCTGTGAGATCAAGGCTAACCTGGTCTACATAATGTCAGGTCAGCTAGGGTTACAGGAAGACCATGTCTTAAAAAAAAAAAAAACCCAAAACAGTAAAACAAAAAACCCTAAAACTTCCAAAATTTGAAGGAATTGAGGTAGGAAGCCCACCATGGTTTTGAGGCCAGTCTAGGTTACATAGTAAGTTCCAGGACAGCTTGAACTACAGAGTGAGACCCCATTTAAAAAAAAGTTTCCCGAGGGATGGAGCGATGGCTCAGTGATTAAGAACACCGACTGCTCTTGCAACTCGGGTTCGATTCCCAGCACCCACATGGCAGCTATGAACTGTCCTTAACTCCAGTTCCAGGGGAATCTGAAGCCCTCTTCTGACCTCTGAGGCACTGCACGACATGGGTGCACTTACCTACATGCAAGCAATGCACTCATACACATAAAATAAGAAAAAGTTTCCCTAAAACATTAAGAGGACACTTTAGGTAGTTTTATAAGCAAATAAATAAATAAATATAAATAAACAGCCAATTTGTGCAATCTGTGGTTTATTATTTATCAATTATTAATAAAGCCATGGCATAAAACAGAGGGACAGAGATCAAGTACACATCTTTGAAAAATTCCAACTGTTGGTACTAGTGACAATTGGGAAGATGACACTTAGCCAGACTAAGGTTCTTTTTTGGGGGCGGGGGGATGACGTCAACTAAAGGCATGCTGGTTTAAAGACCTGTGCTACCATGGTCAGTCAAACTACTCTATAAATACAGTTACCGAGCATCTATTATAAATCAAATAAAATATAATTTGTGTGTTACAAATGCACGGTCAAAAGGTGTGTGTGTGTGTGTGTGTGTGTGTGTGTGTGTGTGTGCGCGTGTGTGTTTCGAGTCATGGTCTCATATAGCTCAAGCTGGTCTCAAAAGTGCTGTGTAGCCGAGGACAACCTTGAACTCCTGAGCCTCCTACCTCCACCTCTTGCGTGCTGAGACTACAGGCACGTACCACCAAAGCAGGGAGGCTTTTTAACTCAAGGGAGTTAAAAATCTAGCAGGGGTTGGGCATGCTGGCACATGTCTTTAATCTCAGCACTCAGGAGGCAGAGGCAGGCAGGTTTTCATAGCAAGTTCCAGTCAGTCAGGGCTACATAGTGAGACCCTGTTCAAAAAACCAAACCAACAAAAAAATAAAAAACAAAACCAAACCAAAAAAAAAGAACCACCACCACCACCAAAAAACCCCAAACACCCAACAAATAAACAGCATATTATACCAAAGTAAAATACAGAGGACAACTATCATTACAAACTATGGTGGTAAAAGAGTTTTCTGAGATGCGTAGGCAGAAGAGGTAGGAACATGAACAGACCTTGCACTCAAAAGCAGGGATGCTGAGTCTCATTAAAACAAAGGATATCTATACTATACGCTTTAATTATTGGTTAAATATATGACTTGGACTACCTTTGATTATTTTGATTTTTTGAGACAGGGTATCCCTGTGACCTCAAACTTGTGGTAATCCTTGTACATTTGCTTCCTGAGCACTATGATGCCTGACATGACTTAGAGTCTTTAAGCAACAGTATATAGCTTAAGTGGGTCTGGAAATGAGTACACTTAAATTCAAACCAACAAAAAACACAGAAAGATTCTAAGTGAATGATTAAAAAGCATAGCATTAAAAAAGTTAATCAGATAGTGTTTTATAGAATGTATAAACATGCAGAAAAAGATCTAGAGAGATGAGGACAGAAGAGACTGTCGGATCCCCTGGAACTGGAGTTACAGTTGTTAACTGCCATGTGGGTGTTGAGATTTGAACCTGGTTTTCTGCAAGAACAGTGTTCTTAACTGCTGAGCCATCTCTCCAGCCCCATGTGTGTATGTCTTTTTGAGACGGGGTCTCCCTGTAGCTGCAGCTGTCCTGGAACTACGTAGACCAGGCTGGCCTTGAACTCAGAGATGTGCCTGCCTCTGCCTCTGCCTCCTGAGTGCCGGGGTTAAAAGTGTGCACCTTTATGCCCAGCTAGGAAAAGGTAGTTTTACTATTGGAAGAAAAGGATAAAAGCAAGGTTGGAACTAAGGTTTGGCCTTAGATATGTTGAGTTAGGCAGGACATTAAGGAAACAGTGTAGACTATGAGGTCAAGGTTAGAATATTCAGGGGCTGGAGAGATGGCTAAGCGGTTAGGAGCACTGGCTGCTCTTACAGAGGATGTGGCTTCAGTTCCCAGCACCCAAATGGAGGCTAACAACTGTCTGTAACATCTGTTACAGAGAACCCAACACCCTCTTCTGGCCTCTATGGGTGTTGCACAACACAGGTATACTTATATATGCAAGCAAAAGAGTCATATAAGCAAAACAAAAATAAATTTAAAAAAAAAATTAGAAGGCCAGGTGTGGTGGTGCACACCTTTAGTCCCAGCACTGGGCAGCAGAGGTAGGTGGATCTTTGTGAATTCAAGGCCAGCCTGGTCTACATAGTGAGTTCCAGGCCAGCTGGGGCTACAGGGAGACCCTGTCTCAGAAAGACCAAAAAATAAAATAAAATAAAACAAAATTCAGATGCTAGGCATGGTGGCACACACCTTTAATCCTAGCACTTGAAAGGCAAAGCCAGGTGGACCTTTGTGAATTCTAGGCCAGCCTGGTCTACATACTGAGTTCTCGGCCAGTCAGGGCTATACAGTGAAACCCTGCATCAAAACAACAAAATAACAACAAAATCATCTTAGAGGTGGTAAATGGACAACATGAGTGTGTTTAAACATTCTTCAGGAGTAAGTCATTAACATGGAAAAAACTAAACCGAGACTGTCCATGTATGAAGATTAAGGAGAAGAGATAAAGAGGAAAGCATCCCTGCAGGACTGCTAGGAGCACAGGGAGGGGCACGGTAAAACTAGGCAGGAGGGTCAATGCAAGTTGGAGGCCAGCCTAGAACATGAGTCCCAGGGGATCCAGGGCTACACAGTGAGACCCTGACTCAGAAAAACAAAACAAACTGCCCACCAGCCCTCCAGCCCCACCCCCAAAAGGATACTTGTGGATTAGAAGAAAGAATAAATGAAAAGAAAAAACGAATGCAATGGTTGAATGGTGAAACACAAAATGAAGCACAGTAGGTTAATTTTGGTCAGAAAACACAGTCCATGAGACAGCAGTGATCATATTAACAGGGAAAAACAACGCATTAAACAGAACAAAACAAACTCTACAATACTTGAGATGGTACCAGTGAGAATTTAAGCATACAAATAATGTGACAGTGATCAAGACCATATCAGAAAGAATTCACAAAATAATGAGTAGAAGTAATATTTACTAATTCCCTAAGTGCTTGCAGAATGCATTTCATGTGAATGCCTGGAGTTTTTCTAGGCTCTGGAAATATAAAAATAGAAAAATAAGTCCCTACCCTTCCCGTTCTAGTGGGGGCAGGGGAGGAGGTAGGGATAAACACAGTAGACACAACAGTACACATAACCACATTCCTGACAGGCTTAGCAGGGAACAAGTCCCAGAGTGGACATCCAGCAAAAGGGTTCATCACGCCACACTACCCCTGGCTATTTCTTAGAAGGGCAAGCTGACCGTGGAAAGAAGAAAAGAAGTGCAAGTCAGGCAAACCATATCAGCAGGATGAACAAAAGCTGACTGTACCTGGTTTGAGATGCTGGCCACTGCAGCTGCTGGGATATTGGCAATTGCAGATGAAGTGGGTATCAGGCTGGCGTTTGTGCTTGAAGCTATAGGTTTGAGAATTAAGAGATGTTACAGGTTCCATTTAAAAGGCTTAAAGATACTGAAAATAAACTGTTTTAAATGACCACATCTAAAGAGGTAAAGAACATGGGCCAAAGAAAAAAATGCTCCCTTTGCTTTTGCACACCACACCTACACTTAGATTTGATTAGAATTAAAACATTTCAAGTGTTAGTTTCAATCTGAGTCTTCGACTCTTCCTATTACACACACCACACACACACACACACAAATTCACAGCTCATACCAACCACACTAGTGAAGTGGGAACTAAACCAAATCAGTCCACTCCTCCTCCTCTAGAGGCTGAAAAATTACTCACCTGCAATGTGACTACTGACAATCAGTAGAGTTCTGGTAAATCCTACACTATGGTGTTGATTATTGTCACTTGCCCCAAACTGCTTTTCCTGAGTGATATAACTGAGAAATAGAGCTATCTTAATACTATAAATTATATTTTACTACTTATAATTGCTATCTTCAAATAATGGGCTACTAATGTGGATCAAAAAACACTGTGAGGAGTGGTGAGATGGCTCGGTAGGTAAAGGCACTTGTTGCCAAACCTGATGTCGTGAGTTTGATCCCCAGGACCCACATGGCAGAAGGAAAGAACTGAGTCCTACAAGTTGTCCTCTGATCTTCACACACACACACACACACACACACACACACACAATAAAGAAGTTTCATCCTTTGTCCAGACCAAAGATACTCTGCTAAGAACACAGCCATGAAGGTGATGATGGTTCCTGCTACTGCTGCAACCTCAGCTTTCTGAAGAATGTGGGACAGAGAAGAGTTAAGGTAACTTGTTCAGAGTCAGGTTGGATAATCCTAGTGGTAGGTGATCAAGATGACAACTATTATCTCCCAATTTTTCACCCAGTGCTCTTTCCTCAGTCAGTGACTGAACTAGGAACACTGACTTTTTTTCCTACAGTATTCTGCCCCAGGGTTGTTAATAGGACACTTAAGGGTTTACTTTGCCAAATACAACTAAATGAAGTTTATCGCATAACTTATAGATAGTATTTTCTTCCCACCAGTAGTCATTTTCTTCTCTACCGAGGCTTAGCCCATTCTTTTCCCTAAGAGGAAACATTAAACTATAACAGCACACATTCGCAGTTTTAATCAACCCGTGGAAAGATTTTACTAGTCTTCAGAGTCTGTTGGTAGTACATTATCCCAGGCAGGCTTGCAATAAAATAGACTGAAAAAGGTGCATAAAGTGGGAAAGAAAGAATGTATTTATCTCTCCCAGCAAAATAATTTCCAGATCAATTTTCCTTTGTCCCTGGGTCTGGCAGATAGTCCCCCTTTTCTCCTATTGATCTTTAATTCTGCCCAGCCTTCTCAGTAACTGTAATGACTGAAGACTGGACTCAGTTACATCTGATCATTACACACATGGCAAAAAATGTACCCTAAGCGGTTTTAGGAATTTAATAATCAGTCAAGCATGGTAGTATATGCCTGTATTTCCAGAACTTGGGAGGTGGAGGCAGAAGGACAAGGAGTTCAAGGTCAGCTTCAGCTATATAGTAAATTTCAAGCTCATTGTGGGCTATGTGAGATTCTACCTCCAAAATAAAACAAAGCAAAAAGAAAAAAAATTAATAATCTTCATCCTATCTACTAAATTGGGTTGATAGTAAAAAAGCAGACCTTTCAAACAATTAGTCATGCATTCTATTAGTCCCCTGAAGAAGCCTAAAAACTTGATTAGGTGGCTAAAGAGATGGCTCAGCGGTTAAGAGCACTGGCTGTTCTTGCAGAAGATCCGAGTTCGAATCCAAGCATCTACATGGCAGCTAACAATAGTCAGTAACACCAGTTCCAGGGGATCTGATGCCCTTTTCTGTCCTCCCTGGGCATTGCATGAGACTGGTACACTTGCATACATGCACACAATACATTCACACACATTAAAAAAAAAGCAAAACAAAACAAAAAACTTAATTAGGTACGTGACAGCTGTCTGATTTAAACAAATACCATACTACAAACCATAAATTCCTAAGCAATAATGGCTTAGGGGCTCTTGGCCTGCTGACCTAGAAACTTCATAGGAATCAATGACATTTCTTTCCCCAACTCATCCAAATAATTCCTTCATTCATTCCTTCTCATCACAATAGGGCTTATTATGTGCTTAAGCTAGCAGTGAGGAATAGAATAGTCAGCAAGACAAAGTCCCTGACTTTACAGAACTTAAGTTTTAATAAGAGAAGCTGGTCAGTGAGAATTATTTTTTTTAGGATCTTGTAGCTATCACCGAACCAAACAATTTACCTAAAAATATGCATAACCACTATATGGTTTACCCCATTCACAACTATGACTAAAAAATCAGGAATAAAAATATACTAATCACTGGGCGTGGTGGTGCACAAATCCCAGCACTTCAGAGGCAGAGGCAGGCGGATCTCTGAGTTCAAGGCTAGCCTGGTCTACATAGTGAGTTCTGGGACAGCTGGGGCTACAGGGAGACCCTGTCTCAAAAAGACCAAAAAAAACCAAACAACAACAACAACAAAAAACCCAAAACCCCAACCATCTTATACATAGATATTTGATGGCATCAACAAATGATATTTAATAGCAGGTTTGACAAAAATAATAATGAAACATATAACAAAGTACAAACTTAAAGAACTAAATAAAACACAAATGCAGCTCTGATTTTTATGCATGGAAAGGCTGTTAGATCTCTAAATACCAAAGGTCAACTGTATTTTCAATCTTCACTCCTACTTTGACAACCATGGAGTTGAGAAATCACTGAAAAAAAGTTTCTAAGCACCAGGACCTGCTAGATGAAGATAATACAATCAATGTATTTAGAGCAGAGAGAAGATGATTGTGGTCATCAAATGGGGCCATCACACTAGAGAACTAAGTGATACTGCCTTAAGGCTAGAAGGCTAACCCAAGGGTTAATGGCACATAAAAGCTTGTGCAAGGGCCCATGAGACAGCTCAATGGGTAAATGTGCTTGCTGTGCAAGCCTGGCAACCTGAGTCTGATCCCTGGAACCCACAGTAGAAATAAAGAACCAACTCCTGACAGTTGTCTGATCTCCACACACATACATGCTAAATTCTCTCTCTCCGTCTCAGCTTGTGCAAGGTCAGGCATGGTGGTATTCTCTTCTACTCCTGTCCTGTAGTCCCAGTATGCTGGAGGCAGAGGCAGAAGCAGGAGGATTACAAGTTCAAGGCAAACTTAAACTACAGAGAGACCTTATCTCAAAACATATTTAGTTTCTACTCACCTCTCTAATTTTATAACATGTCACTCACCTTGCTTGCTCACGATAGCTTTCTTTTGGTTACTCAAAACATGTTCTTTATGATCTATGGATTTTTATGATATTGTTAATCAGGATGTAGTCTCCTTCCCAGCACAATGACCCTTCAACATGCCTGGTTTCCCCAGAGGGAAGCTTTCTCTGACTCTTTGTTAAAACAAGTTCTTTCTTGCTTTCTCAATGGAATGGTTGAGCAGGCATGCCAAGGAGAAGGAAGCAGCCCTGGAGAGCTACCATTCAGTATTCATGCTAAGGAAAGGGAAAGCAGAGAGATACTGTGGAAATGCCAGGCACTACAGATCACTAATATGACCGTATTTCTTCTTTCCTCCCTTCCATTCTTCTTCTTTTTGAGACAGGGTCTCACTATGTAGCCCTGGCTGGCCCAGCTACATAGACCTAACTTGTCTAGAACTCATAGAGATCCACCTGTCTCTGCTTCTGAGTGCTGGAATTAACGTGGTGTCCACATTTCATCTTAGTCAATGTTTTTTTTTTTTTTTTTTTAAACCAACTCTTTCTTCATAATAGTTAACAGTGAACAACTTGATGCCCTAAAATTTCTAATTTGCATCAAAATGTTAATGAACAATAAAACAGAAGAAAGAAAAACAAAGCCAGATATTTGTTGCTATAGGTTCAAGCATGGGAAAGTTGATACTGATTCTATCAATATTATACATATTCTCTGGAGTTAGAACGCTCAACTTCTAGCCTAGCTTAATTATTTACTTGGTGCCTTTAGTAAGTTATTTAGATGATCTGTACCTCAGGTACCTCATCTGAAAAATGGGATTAATAGTATTTACTATGTTAGGAAGATTACAAGAATAATATCAATCCACTGCTTGGAACAATGCTAAGACCACAGTAAGTATTTACTAAATGCCAGCAGTTATTATTAACAGAAAATGAAGGAAACAAGGTTAACTGATCCAAAGGGAAAAACATATTCTAACACGTGACAAATAAGGATAGTGCAGCCGGGCTTTTGTTCCAGCACTCGGGAGGCAGAGGCAGGTGGATCTTTGTGAGTTCAAAGCCAGCCTGGTTTGCATAATGTGTTCCAGGCCAGCTGGGGCTACAGGGAGACCCTGTTTCAAAAAGACAAAAACAAAAAACAAAAACAAAAGAGAAATAAAGTAAGGATAGTACTTAGTGAAAATTCAAGAGATCCAAAAAAATTTTAAGTATTTTGAGTTTTTGTACATTTCATAGAATACATCTTAACCAAATTTAGACCCCCCCCTTCTCTCATCCGCACCTGTTCATAGCCCCCACGACCGGATTTCATGCACTGTCATATATGTGAAGGCATATCTGGTCAAGCATTTGTGCCCAGATGTCCCTTGGTGCAAGTTCATCCACTGGAGTCTAGTCAGTCTATCTAGAGTCACTCCCTTAAAGAAGGTCAGCTGTCCCTCACTCTGAAGTGATCAGCTGTCAATAATTTTTCAGCTATGGTTGGGGCCTGTTGCCCATTTCCCTTGTTCTACGCTGGGTTTTTGTCTGAGTCGGCATGGGTCTTGTGCATGCTGTCACCATTGTTGCATAAAAAACTTTTTTGATATTTAAAATTTTATTGTCTGTGTATGAGTGTTTTGCCTGCATGTATATAAGGTCATCCATACTATGTAATGTTTACAGAGGTCAGAAGAGAGTGCCAGATCCTCTGGAACTGAAGTTAACATATGACTGTTACCTGCCGTGTAGGTCCTGGGAACTGAACCTGGGTCCTCTGCAATAACAGTCAGTGCTTTTAACCACTGAGCCATTTCTCTGGCCCCTTCAAGAGATATTTTCATGATCCATTTAAAGCCATGTCTTCTAACTTACCCCAAAGAAATGATCCCTCTTGTTTTATATGGAAAGAGAAGTAAGATAGATTAGATCCTGTAAATTCAAGATATAACTCTAGAGGGGCGATTCTACACCTTGGTAAAAGAAGAGAAAACTTTCAAGACCTAGGTGTATTCCTAAAAAGGGATATATCTATTTAGGAGGGGTCTGCTTACTTCATTGTATGTAGTTGATCCCCAAAGGTCTAGAGAAAAACACTAAGACTGAAAGGAAAGCCAGTCCCAGATGGCTCAGTAGGCTGAGGAAGGGAAATCTTTTAAAAACCTATGGATTTAAGGCCAGCCTGGGTCATTTTCCTGAGTGTTGTCCCTCCTGGTCTGTTCCTCTTAGAAAGAAAAAAGAGGGAGGAAGGGACAAGGAAAGAAGGAAATGTAGAAGAGATTACAAACAACAGGAGGTCAAGGTATCTCAGACCCAGGTCTTAAGAACATAATTGGGGCTGGAGAAATGGCTCAGTAGTTAAGAGTGTTTGCTGCTCTTCCAAAACTAACCTAAGTTCAGTTCTTAGCACCCATGTTAGGTGGTTCACAACCGCTTGTAATCTAGCTCTAGCGGATCCCATGCCCTCTTCTCAACTCCGTGGGCACCTGCACATATGTATGCGCACACACACACACACACATACACACACACACACACACACACACACACACAAAAGCTTAAAAATAACAGAGGCTACTGCTGTTTCCCATAGAATCAAACATTAAGTAAGTGAAAACATTTACAACAAATATTTTTCTATTAGCAAGGTTATTTTCTTTTTTTTGTCTTTTTGAAGCAGGGTCTCCTTGTAGCCCCAGCTGTCCTGGAACTCATTATGTAGACCAGCCTGGCCTTGAACTCACAGAGATTGCTTGCCTATGCCTCCCAAGTGACAAGGTTATTTTCTTAAGAGTGCCTTAGAGAGGTTTGGGGTGTCTGTATTCTCACTGTATAAGGAATGAAATAAAAAAGCCAAAAGCCATCAGGAGCAAAGGAGGCTGATGAGAAGCCACACACACAGACACTACTTTCCAGTCTGAACCAATGACAAATTGATTGTGATGGATTTGGAAGGGTAGACAATTACCATTACACTACCCTTTTCCTTATTTGTTCTGACCCAAAACTAACTGTTTAGAAGAAGAACCCAAAAATTAAGGTTCTTTAGAGTTTAATGTGTTTTTCACCTTGGAATAGAAATAATCAACTTTTTTCTCTTTTTGGTGCAGAGAACTGAACTTAGTGTTTCACATGTTAGGCAAGCACTCCACCACTAACCTACACCCTCAGCCTAATAATGAGCTTTTTGAGCAAAAGCAATACTTTCATCAAGAAGTACATGGGGGTAGGTATCATAGAGCCAAGGGGCAGACAAGCAGTCCACATCACATATATCACTCTGACAATTCACCTGAAAGTCAGCTGAATTCTGACTTAAGAAATCTTCTGCTGACTTACATGGCAAAATGCCACTGAGAACAGATCAGCATAAAATCAAAGAGGCTTTCTGGACACCAGCATGCAAAAGGGACAGATTTTATTCTATTGAGCAGCTCACATTCAAGGCCTAAGCTACTTACAAACCACTTTTTCCCGGGTTTGCCTAACACAAAAAGCATGCACAAATGCAAATGCCATTCCTTCTATTTTAGAAGACAGTGCTCCTGTATCATCCAATTTGTTTGGATATACAGGTATATTAAAAATAAAAAACAATAAAAAAATTGAAGAACATATACACAACCATGCCTATTTACCTTGAATGGGATAAGAATAATGTGCTGGGCTTGGCTGGCTTGTGGTTAACCCTGTAGTGCAGGTAAGAACACTGTGTTGACTTGGAGATGGAGTCTGAATTAAACCACTTTCAGGTTTCATACCTGGCCACAATGCACCTGAATCAGATAAATCGGACCAATTACAAACAATACACTGGGACTGAGGAGCATGGTCACGCTTTCAAATATTAGCTGGTAGGTCATTTAAAATTGAAACCTTAAAAATAAATTTGCTTGTAAGAGAAAATTACTGATTCTCTTACTTATAATGTACCACAAGCAAATATAATTCTTTCAAACAATTAAGAGGATTGGGCCATAGAAACCAAAACCCCAATAGTGGTATGCATATAAGTTTATATCAATGGTTAGAATAATTGACCAGGGTTCAGGAAAACATTACAGATACCAAACTGGAGTATTTCTCATAAAGAACGACTGATGTTAATGTGCAATGATGAATCATTCACCCAAATTATCAAGGTGGGAGATAGTCTATATAAATTTAAAGTTCACTTACCCATTAAATAAGCAAGTTTTCTAGTTGCATTAAACATTTCTCTTTTTTCTTAAATCAATCATTTTATAATCTTTGTTTCCTTGGATTAGGAAAGACATACCTGCTTTTTTTTAATAATTAAAAATATTATATGAGGCTGGAGATGTATTTTGGACTAGGATGTACTAGGATGTGTAAAGCCCTGGGTTCAATCCCCAGCATCACATAAAGTGGGGCTGGTTGTATGTGCCTGTAATCCCAGCACTTGGGAGGTAGAGGCAGGAAGATCAGAAGCTAAAGGTCACTCCTGGCTTCAAAGCAAGTTTGAGGTTAGCCTTGGAAACACGAGATCCTGTCTCAACCGCCCCCCACCCCACCAGAAACATGTAAACTTTATCATCCAAACTTTACTATTACTTGCTTGTACAAGTTACCCGTTTTTCCCCACATTTACTGATGTTTCTTTTTCAAATAAAAATGAGATGTTATACATACTATTCCTAAATTCCATTTCCACCTAATCCCTTAGAGAGACATGCTTCACGTCAGAACATACTAATCTATCTCACACTGATCACAGCTGCTTACTTCCGTTTTCATGATGCCCTGGAGTGACAATCTTCCTAATGCATTTCTATCCTTTCCTGCCTTCTTATCAGGGAAGAAATAATGACTTTTTAGATGTTCCTCAGAATTATTGCTACATACACTTCAGATATAGCTATGGAGAGTATTGTGATATCTAAATAAATAATAGAACTCAATTACAGTTCTATGATTTTTAGTTTTTTTTTTTTTTTTTTTTTTTTTTTTTTTTTTTTTTTTTGGTCTTTTTGAGACAGAGTCTCCCTGTAGCTGGTCTAGAACTCACTTTATAGACCAGGCTGGCCTTGAAGTCACAGAAATCCACCTGCCAATGCCTCCTGAGTGCTGGGATTAAAGGAGTGCACTATCACATCCCGCTGATTTTTAGGTTCTTAATTACTTTGTCACTTCTTTTTTCTTTTCCTTTCCTTTCCTTGTTTTGTTTTTGAGACAGGGTTTTACTATGTAGCCCTGGCTGACCTAGAACTCATTATTTAGACTAGGTTGGCCTGAAACTCAAAGATTTGTCTGCCTCTGCCTCCTGAGTGTGAGGATTAAAGACATGTATCACCATGCCTGGCTCTTTTTTTTTTTTTTGAGCCACAATCTTATGTAGCCCAGGTTGGCCTCAAACTCCCTAAGTGGTCAAGAGTAATTGTGAACTCCTGGCTCTCCCTCCCTCATTCCCCAGTAATGGGATTATGAGCTTGTAATACTATGCCTCATCTTTGTGGTACTAGGGTTCAAACCCGGGGCCTTGAGCACTCTGGAAAGCATTCCACCACCTCAGCTGAATTGCCAGCTGTTAAGTGCTGCCCCCTAACAATTTCTCATTTCTGGAAACAGTTCCTTTTTAAAAAATATATAAATCTAAGCCAGGCGTGGTGGCACACGCCTTTAATTCCAGCAGAGGCAGGCGGATCTCTGTGAGTTCACAGGCCAGCTGGAGCTACTGGGAGACCCTGTCTCAAATAAATAAATAAATAAATAAATAAATAAATAAATCTAGCTGCACGCCTTTAATCCCAGCACAGGTGGATCTCTGTGAGTCCAAGGCCAGCCTAGTCTACACAGTGAGTTCCAGCTGGGGCTACAAGGAGACCCTGTCTCAAAAAGGCCCTTGAACTCACAGAGATCTGCCTGCCTCTGCCTCCCAAGTGCTGGGACTACAGACATGCACCATCATGCCCAGCCAAAAATTACCTTTTTAAATTAATATATATTTAATTTCTGTGTGTATGACTATATTGCTTATATGTGTATGTAAGTGTACCCATGTTGTGCAATGCCCACGGATTTCAGAAGAGCATGCTGGATTCCCTGGAACTGGAGTTACAGATGGTTGTTAGCCACCATGTGGGTACTGGGAATTGAACCTGGGTCCTTTGCAAGAACAGCCAGTGCTCTTAAACACTGAGCCACCTCTCCAGCCTCCCAATTACTTTTTTTGTTTGTTTGTTTTTGGGACAAGAACTCGTGTAGCCCAGGCTGGCCTTGTACTCACTATGTAGCAAGGATGACCTTGAATTTCTGATCTTTCACCTATACCTCCTTAGTGCTATGATTACGGACATGTACCAATGTACTAGGCTAAGTACTTTTCAACTGAATTCCACCTCCAGTCCTATGCTCCTCTTTTTAATTTGCAATCAACTAGAAAACTATAAATATATAGATTTTGTTGCTGTTGTTGCTTCTCCAAGAAAATATAAAGATATCCTTTGAGAACAAAAAGCTCATGACTATATAGTCCTGGAGAACTTTTGGCTATGTAAAAGCCTAGTTAAAAAAAACAGCCTGGTTTTTCAGTGTTCTGAATAGTTAGGGCTGCTGGATCAGTATAGCTGCAGCTGATAATCTGATCTAGGAATGTTCATCAATCAAACATTCTATGTACAAAATCAATACTATGGTTAAACATAGCTTTAAATTTAACATTAATTCATTTCACTTACTTTTAATGTGATAGAAAACATACAGCAGTTAATGTAGGCAGTAAAAACTATAGTATTTTGATAACGAGACCCTCTGCTTTACCAGCACTAACATACTTCACTGCAACTCAGATTTCTCACATCTGTTAATAAGTAAACCTAAGCAATAGAAAAGGGAGATGTGAAAATCTTGGGGTGACAATAGGACATGGTACATAAAAAGGGAAAGTGTTATAGTGTCTTCTCATTTATACACAACATGTGTTTGAGGAGATGGGGAAATGTTACTATGAGTTAGGAGGATCATTTCTTCCACTCAGTTCACTTCATGATTGTTCACATATGCCTTACCAGGTAAGCCAGCTCTAAGGTACTTCCTTTGTTTTATTTTCAACAACAAAACTATTTAAGAAGACTATGTATGTATCTATTTAGAGAGAGAAAGGAAGAGAGAGAGGAAAATCAAGAGTGAAAGTGCATGTGCATGTGCAGGATGAGGGGTGTCTTGTTCTATCATATCACTCTTCACCTTATTCCTTTGAGACAGAGTCCCTCACAGTGTTGAGATTACAGGTGTACACAGGCCACACCCAACTTTTTACATGGGTGCTTGGGATTCAAACTTATATCCTCATACTTGTGAAGCAAGCACTTTTACTCACTCAGCCATCTCCCCAGCCTACTATTTTATTTTTAAACATCTATGACGTGAAGACTCAGTGCCATGATTCTCAGTGGCTTTGCACTATGTGTTTTTGCTAAGTAATACTGTTACAATAACTTCCATATTTATTGTAAGCAATGTAATTGCTTTTTCCAAATAGGTTTGACTCTGAGGTACTTGATCTGTGAATGTTTATTACTATGCAATATTAAAGCGGTATTTCCTAAATAACAATGCACTAAGTCACACTGCTTTGCTAGTCTTATTACTTGGTATCTGTTTTTCACTTTTTGGACAGTTTTTCTAACTGTGCTTGGAACTCTCAAGCCTGTCACAGCTGGGATTAGAGGTATGTGCCACCATACCCAGTTTTCCAGGACTTTTAAGCACCAAGTGCCTGCTATCTGACTATTGATCTACAAAAGGAAAAGATGTCTGTCCCTATCCTTCCTGAGGTCCCATAGTATGGTTCATCAGAAACTCTATCACTCTAAACAAAGTAATCTGATCATTCATTTAAAGCAACAAACTTATCTTTTCAGATTAGTTTACTAAATTAGGGGCTGAAGTATCCAACATAGCTTACTTATTTTCCAGACTCTGGGAGTGAATATACATTATAGAAAATGCAGAAGATACAGAAAAAGAATCATATAATCTCATCACATTGAGGCAGCTCTCAGTTTTCATGGAACTGTGTTAACTAAGAACTGTACACAATGGAATCTTTCTGCTTTGCAGTTCTGTGGTAACAGATCAAATCTGTAGTGCCTGTGCTGTTAAAATTCATACACTTCCTTCCAAATTATCATCTATACACATATTTGTAAAACATTAAGTTATTATGATTTCCATTTCATAGACTAGTATTTTTAACTAATAATACTGTTATCTCAAGACTGCAATTTCCTTCTTTCTTACAATTTGTGTGTACACATGCATGTGGCGGTCAGAGGACAACCAAGGGTATTGTTCCCTAGGCACTGTCCACTTTGCTGAGATAGGGTCTCTTATTGGCCCAGTAGGCTAGGCAACTAGGCAGTGAGCCTGAGGATTCCACCTGCATCTGCCTCCCTGTTATTGGGATTACAAGCACATGCTACCTTGTCATGTCTTTTTTCTTGGGTGCAGGGATCGAACTAAGGTCCTCATGGTGCACAACAAGCCCTTTACCAACTGAGCTGAACCATCTCCCTTCCCCCTCTTGCTAAAAAAGTGTGTGTGTGTGTAGAGGTCAGGGATAAATTGTAGGAGCTGGTTCTCTCCTTCCACTACATGGGACCTGGAGATCAAAATCGGGTCATTAGGAATTGGAAGCAGGTGCCTTACCAGCTGAGCCAGCTTGTCAACCCTCCATTTTTTTTCCTTCGTTTTTAAAAAATATTTTATTATTTTTATTTTATGTGTATGAATGTATTACCTGAATGTATATGAGTGCACAATATCATGCAGTGCTGCAGAGGTCAGAAGAGGGCACTGGATTCCCCTGGAACTAGAGTTAAGGATGGTTCATAGCCACCATGTGAGTGCTGAGAATTAAACCCAGGTCTTCTGCAAGAACAGTCAGTGCTCTCAAACTGCTGAGCCATCTCTCCAGCCCCGAATTTTTCCTTTTACAGCAGGGTCTTATTATGTAGCCCAGACTGGTCTTGGACTTATATTTTTCTGTCTCAGCCTCTCAAGGGATGGGATTACACTTGTGCACTATCACACCTGGTTTAAGACCCCGGATTCTGTGTGTGTGTGTGTGTGTGTGTGTGTGTGTATTTTTTAGTTAGCATACAAACTAATGGGTTTGGTTATGGCATTTCATACAGGTCACACTGTATTCTTATCCAACAACCCCCATATCCCACTCTGGCTGGTTTCCTTCATCCAGTTAGTTTCTTCTGTTGCTTTCAGACCACATGCATTCTATGACCTTCTCTTTCCCCCGGTTCCTTAAGATCTCTTCCATCTCTTCCAGGACTCTTTCTAGTTATAAGAACTCCCTCCTCGGTTACAATTTGAATCTAGGTTCCACATATGAGAAAACATTTGGTATTTGTCTTTCTGAGTACGGTTTATTTTGCTTAACATAATAATTTTCAGTTGTAGCCATTTTTTTGCAAATGTCATGATTTCATTTAAAAAACATATTTTATTATTTTTATTTTATGTGTATGAGTGTATTGCCTGCATGTAGGTAGGTGCACTTGTGTCATACGATGCGTGAAGTGGTCAGAAGAGGGCTTTGGATCCCTTGGAACTGGAGTTACAAATGGTTGTTAGCTGCCATGTGGGTGCTGGGAACTGAACCTGGGTCCTCTGAAGGAGCAGTTAGTGCTCTTAACTGAGGAGCCATCTCTCTAGCCCCCTCCCCTTTTCTTTAAAAGACCTTAAACTCCTGATCCTCCTGTCTCTATCTCTCATGGGCTGGGATTATGAGAGTGTGCCAACACACCTGGTTTCATTCCACTGCTGATAAGACATCTAAACTGATTCCATTATAAATTGTACAACAGTAAATATGGATGTGCAAGTATCTCTGCAGTATGTGACTTAGTGTCCTTCAGATATACACACAAAGTTGGTACAGTTTGGTCACATGGTGCTTCTTTTTTCAAGTTTTTGAAAAGTTTTCATACTGACTTGCATGATGGCTACACAAGTTTACATTCCCAACAGTTCCAAATATTATTTTTTAATTTTAACTTATTAGTTATTTTTTATTTTATGTGATGAGTGTTATGCCTGCATGTATGTATGTATACCACATGAATTGTCTGGTGCCTACCTAGACTAAAAGAGCATTGGCTCCCCTGGAACAGAGTCACAGACAGTTGTAGGCTACCATGTGGGTGCTGGAGCTCTTGGGAGCTGAAGGTAGGAGGATCAGGAATTCAAGGCCAGCCTGGTCTAAGAGAAACCCTGTCTCAAAAAAATAAAAACAGGACCAGTGAGATGACTCAGCAGGCAGAGGCAGAGAAGCCCTGAGTTTGATTCCTGCGTCCCACAAGGTGGCAGGAGAGAACAGACTCCCACATGTGTGCCTGCACTCAGACAGACACAGGCACACAAACTAAATTTAAATATTAGAAACATTGAGGGACTGAGAGATGGCTTAGCTGTTAAGAGCACTTGCTGCTCTTTCAGGAGACCAGGGTTTGGTTCCCAGCACCCTTATCAGGCAGCTCATACCTGCCTGTAACTGCAGCTCCAGGGAATCCAACACCTCTCTGGTCTCTGTGGGCACCTGCACTAACATGACGCACAAACCCACACGCAGACACACATAAATTTTAAAAATGTATAATAACAACAAAAATATACAGTAACCTTAAGAATTCTTAGGCTGGGCGTGGTGGTGCATGCCTTTAATCCCAGCAGAGGCAGATGGACCTCTGTGAGTTCAAAGGTCAGCCTGGTCTACATAGCTAGGACTACAGGGAGACCCAATCTCAAAAAGACCAAAAAATAAAAGAATTCTTAGAAATAGAGGCAGGTAAAAGAGACAGTTCAAGGCTTAAGAGTGCTTGCTGCTCAACCATGAGGGTTTGAGTTTGAATCCCACCACTCCTGTAACAGGCTGGGCAAAGTTTCATGTGTGCCGGTAACATCAGTGCTGTGATGGGTGGAGGTAAGAGGATCACTTGTTGACTCCAGCCTAGCCAAAAATTCGAGCTCCAGATTCAGGGAGAGACTGCCTCAAAGGGATGAGGCAGAGATTTATAGAGGAGGACACCCAATGAACTCTTCAGCCTCTGAGTGAAGAGATAGGCACTATGGATCCCCACACACATATAGTCACAATCACACTATATCACAAATATCTCTTATAACTCCTCTGGGAAAATGTAAGAAAATGTGATGTCAATCACATACATTATCCTAACCTAAACCTTTACCAATAAGTCCCACACATTACTTAAAAGTGAAATCAAGCTAATGATTATTTACCTTTCTCAATTACAAGAGAATCTAGCTTGAGGCCAGCATGGGCTATACAGAGAAATCCTGCCTCAAAAAACCATGAGGAAAAACCAAAAATAAAATACCCAGAAAAATAAACAGTAATAAACCTATTGCCAGAGTGTTCTTCAAAAGAACTCAGTCTTGGCTGGTTAAATGAATTGCAAAGATTTTCAGTGTTGATATTATAGGTACAGAGGCACATATGTACAAATGTGGAAGGAGAATCTGTTCTCTTTACTCCTAAAAAATTTTTTATATTTTAAGTGTGTGTGTGTGTGTGTGTGTGTATGTGCACACGTGCCAGTGCCATGACATGCCTGTAAAGGTCAGAAAAAAGTCGGTTCTCTCCTTTCACCATGTGGGTCCCAGGGATCAAACTCAGGTTGTCAGGCTTGGTGACAGGTGCCTTTACCTGCTAGCTATCTTGCTGGCCCTCTCTTTCTCATAAGGTTATGAATTATGACCACTATTAAATTTTTTCCTGGGAGCCAGATAAGGTGGTACATGCCAATAATCCCAGCACTTAGGAAATTGAAGCAGGAAGATTTAGGGTTTGAGGACAGTCTGGGCTATGAAACACTGTGTCAAAAAAAAAACAAAAGAAAACCAAACAACCCTTGGATTAGGGATGCTGTATGGTCGTAGAGTGCTCGTGTAGTATGCAGGAAGATATGACAGATCTCCAGTGTAGCAAAACAAACACCCCAATTTTTTATTTTCAGTATTCAATGGGAGCCCCAAAGAATGCTAAGAAGTCTAAAAGTAAGAAATCTGGGGCTGCAGAGATGGCTCAGCGGTTAAGAACATAGGCTGTTCTTGCCGAAGACCTGGGTTTGAATCCCAACACCCACACAGCAGCTAGCAACTGTAGGTAACTCCAGTTCCAGGACAGCCTTTTCTATCCTCCGCAGGCATTGCATGACACAGGTGCACTTACCTACATGCAGGCAATACACCCATACACATAAAATAAAAATAATAAATAAATAAAATTAAATTTAAAAAAGTAAGAAAACTGTCACTGACATCGAAGACTAGCCAAGTGAGCTAAGCAGAGCAGGGCTGCAGAAACCCAAAGTAGGTGCACTAATACACCCAGAGTCTAGGTGCTTATTTCCTTGGAAGATGCTTTTAAATTCTTAGCTTGTTCAAATGAAATCTCCAAAGACATAACTTTTAACATATTGCATATTTAAAATAATGCAGTTTTTTGCTATCGGTGCTAGAAGAACAGAGGAGCAATAAAATGCACTGCACACATCTATCAATGTATACACACAAGGAAAAAAAAAATCACCATAGGTATTAAATGCTCAAATAACTCCAAACTTACTGCTGGTAAAACATTCTGATTGACAGTTTATATCCAAGATACCCAAAACTAATGAAAATAACTGCCTGCACATATATGGTTATAGAAAATTGGGGGATTTCCCCTGTTCTAAGGTGTCTTTTGGTTCATAATAACATTATTTATCAATTATGGGAAGGAGTAGTGGGAAAGGAGAAAAACTGGCCAAAGCAAAAGCCAGAAAACAACAATTAAAACAAAACATAACTAAGAGGCATATTCTATTTGAATATTTAGACTACTTGGTTTTAGCAGAAATTGGTCACCTCAAAATATATTTACCATGTTTACCTATGTGTGGTACTATGTTATATATAAAGTAAGTCAAATCAACAGTAATTCCTCAAAGAGCTTTCCAAACAATAATTCTAAGCTTCTAGCTGGGTGTGATGGTGCATACCTATGATCCCAGTACTCAGGAAGTTAAGGCAGGAGTATTTGGAGGCCCAGGCTAGCCTGGGCTACACAGTAAGTTAAAGGTCAGTTTGAACTACTACAGCAAGATCCTGTTTCAATAAAACAAGGTTGGGGATGCAGCTTGGAGACTGAGAACTTTCCTAGTATGTGGGAGGCCCCGAGCTTAATTCTCAGTGCAGGGGGAAAAAAATCTCAAGTTTTGGATTCAAGACCTTGGAAATAGCTAAATTTTGGTGGCTAACCAAATGATTACAGAAAGCTGTTAAGCACAACTTCCACAAGTGATGGGTATACACTCTGTAAATCTAACATACCTTTCCTTTTCCTAATCATTGATGCTTGCTTTCTAGGGAAAAAAATCTCAAGTTTTGGATTCAAGACTTTGGAAATAGCTAAATTTTGGTGGCTAACCAAATGATTACGGAAAGCTGTTAAGCACAACTTCCACAAGTGATGGGTATACACTCTGTAAATCTAACATACCTTTCCTTTTCCTAATCATTGATGCTTGCTTTCTGAGAAAAGACATGCTTCTGAACAATAAAAATACTCTTAAAAACTGTTCACAAAAGGACGTCTTACCAAAAGGAGGTAGTCCGTATGTTTGGGTTGCCTGAGGATAGACAGCATAGGGTTGAGACTGCTGTAGTGTCTGGTACTGAGTCTGTCCAGGGTAAGCAGTTTCCGAAACAGGAACTGAGAGGATATGTGCATAAGGTCTGGAAAAATTCAAGAAAATAAAAAGCTTTCATAGGTGACACATTTTAGTTAATGAAAAGTAGGTAAAAACAATACCAATCAATCAAGAATAAGATTAGCTTTACATATAAAATAACTCTTGTTATGGTAAGAAAGCATAACCTTTGTTCTAAGTTCTACTATTAATCTTTCTAAGGAATAATTTTATGGAAAATTAAACAGGTTTCAAACATCTTGCCAAGTTATTACTCTACAAATATTTATACTAATGCTACATGCAAGAGCACAGATGAGATAAAGGATTAAACTTATTTGTGCTCTATGTTTGAATAAAAAATAAAATCTGGGCTGGTAGAGTGCTTGTGCAGCATGCAGGAAGCCGGGCATTTGATCCCTAGCATCTCAAAGAACAGATGTGGTGGTACATGTCTTTAAACTCAGGACTTGAGAGGCAGAGGCCAAAGGATCAGGAAATTCAACACCAACCTTCATTACACAGAAAGTTGGGGGCCTGCAGGAAGATCAGGAATTCAAGATCATCCTTGATTATGTAGTAGGTTGGAAGTTAAGACCCTTTCTCAAAAAAATAAGAACAAAACCAAAACTAACACTCGAAAATAACAGAAAATTAGACAGAATAAGTATGATTGGAAACTGGCTCTTATTCTGAAGTTCTGAGAGAAAAAGTGGGCTTGGAAAGAGTGAGGCTTACGGGGGACCCTGTGGCCAGGAACAGGGCTCCCTGTGTCCTGATCTAGAGGCCTCTTCCTTTGCCTTCAGTTTCCCATTCTGGTGTTTTTGTTGTTAAAGTGATGGGATGAAGACAGAGACAGACAGACAGACAGACAGACAGACAGACAGAAAGACACACACACACACACACACACACACACACACACACACACAAACACAGAATTAAATTCAGCAGTGAAGTCCCTGAGACTTTACCTTCTGACCTGCTCATTTCATCCATTCTACCATACTCTACATTATACTCTAAGAAAAAAGTGCTATTATGTACCTTAAAAGTCTTAATAAGCCGGGTATGGTGGCGCACACCTTTAATCCTAGCACTTGGGAGGCAGAGGCAGGTGGATCTTTGTGAGTTCAAAGCCAGCCTGGTCTACATAGTTCTAGTACAGCTGGGGCTACAGGGAGACCTTGTCTCAAAATAGACCAAAAGAAAAGAAAAAAAAAAAAAGTCTTAATAAAATATGAGGTAAAAGGGTTATGTTTTGTGTGTGTGGAAGAGGTGTTCTAGCACAAGAATAAAGTCCTGGCAAAGGTACAGAGGAAGTAGAGGAAGGGTTCCAGTGCCTAAGGAGTAAACACTGTACTAAGGGAAGGACATCAAGAAAGGGGAAGTAGCAAGCAAAAGATAGAAAAGTACAGATAGCAAAGCTCCTGATTGCCAGGCTAAGAGTGCAGACAAATCGAAGAACTGGAAGGCAGCAAAACTGGTAAAGAGTAAGGAGCAGAGCTGCTCTTCAGTAAGGGAATCTGACACTGCTTTCTACAGCAGATTAGAAGGGAGGTCCAGCTTTAAGGCGATTTCAATGCAATGGATTCAGTAAGTGGTAAGGAGGTTGGAATTAAGCTAGAAGGCATTCCTAAATAAGGTGTCTTAAATGTAGCAGCTATGTAAACATGGCAGGGATGAATTTGGCATATGCAACACATTCATGTCTCAAGAGAGTCTCAGAGACTTTATCAGCCAGGTCTAAGCCTAAGAAACAATTCAGGCAACCGCTGTTATTTGACTCACATGAGAATCACTTGAAATAGGAGTGACCGCAAAAGATTCAATCTCCAGATACGATGAAGACCATAGTCTTTCCCTTATGTCTTTATAGGTAGTATCATCAGATAAAAAACTAGAACACTTCTAAGATGAAATAAGATGGACATTTCTTGCTAGTCTTTCAAACTAAGTAACAGTATAACCTGGATACCAGAAAGCTCGAGGAGCTGAATGTGTTTTACATTTCTGTATCTAATCTAAGCATGTCCAACCTGTGGTGTGGAGGTCACATTCTTTGGGGACAGTTGTGGATGAGATCAAGGACATTTGTAGATGACAATGTTGTGTCACACTGCCAAAAGGGTCAACACCCCTGTGACATTTTTAATTTCCCTATAATGATTCCAGAATACAGGGTTAATTTAAAAAAAAAAAAAAAAAAAAAAAAAACCCAAATGAGAATGACTGGTCCAAGCAGACATTAATACTAACATGAGAATGTGGAAAACTCAGAGTTAGCTTTTTAACTAGTTCATTTTTTAACTAAAAAAATCTGAATAAATGGGCACAAGGAAAAAAATGCCAGTTTCCTTTTCATAACAGCTTCATAGGGATCTCTGACTTCTGTTGTCGTTTTCTTTATGTATCTTTCATTTATAAGCATGTAAGACTATATCCTGGTTTAATTAAACGCAGTTGTTTGTGGCTGTGTATGAATAAGTCCACTCTTCATTAACATGTAATTGCAGCTTAGTATAAACACTATTCTGCACTTTACCCATCTTAGAGATCATTAACCTGGTTGGTCTTAAATGCTGACCTTACTTTGTGAAGGCCTAAAACGTACCTCTTTGTGACTTCAACCTACCATACTTGTCTAATTTCAAGTCCATTCTATTCTGTAGTTACCAATCTAGGGTCAGCTCAAGCTGCTTCTCTCGATCCATATGCTGATACACAGGAAAGAAAAGGATCAAAGATCCATCATTAATATGCCTTTGATCACTACTCTACATTCTGAGTGCCTACTCAATTAAAGTGGATTCCTATATAATTAATAGCAATCTATTTCTGGCAGCCACCTAATTTTTTTTTTTTTACAGGGTCCCTAGTCCCAGGCCACAGAACTCACTATGTAGACCAACAAGGTTGCCTTCAATCTCAGAGATTCACCTGCCTCTGCCTCCTGAGAGCTGGATTAAAGGCCTAGGCCACCATACTGGGGGTGTATATATATATTTTTTTCTTTTAGTCTTTTTGAGACAGGGTCTCCCTGTAGCCCCAGCTGGCCTAGAACTCACTATGTAGACCAGGCTGGCCTTGAACTCACAAAGTTAAAAAACAAGTTAAATATTAAATTAAATTTTGCAATGAGCCTAGAGAAAAGTTTGGAAAAATTATTCAACTTACTTTGCAGAATACATTTGTGAGGTATAATCATTAGATGAGCGAGGGATGTAATCGGTGCATGTCATAACTGAAAGAAAGATATTATCAGGTAAAAAAGTTAGAACAGCTAAAAAATTAATTGGAAAAATTACATATTTTCCTGTATAGTCTTTCAAACTAAATACAGTCTTTCAAACACAACATAGGTTGGGCAACAAAAACTTTGATAAGACTATGTAGTAGACAATACCTCATTCTGTGTTCACAGACCTGCTTGTAGAATCTGAGACAGTAAAAGAAGCAAAAATGGGGTGACAGTGGGACAAACAGACATAGAAACAAATGTGAAGATCGATGCCAACTAACCTCTATATTTACCTCACTGATCTAAATCATATATGAAGTAAAACCCCCTAAGCGCTCAGCCATGCTCTCTGACAAACTCAGAAAGCATGACATTATGCTTCTTTTTTATACTCTGGGTACTTACTCTATTCTTGGTGAAAAGTCTAAAGAATGACTTGTAAAAGGTCTGGCAGAAGTACCCAATCCTATTTACAAACTGTTGCTGTTGCGACAAATTCAACAGCAGGAACACATGCAAATACACTTCTACACTGTTGTTTTCTGCTTTATAAAAGTAAAGGCTTTAAGTTTGGAAAAGCAGAGGCAAATCTGAGGAACTGATGTGATGCTCTGATGAATGATCAAGTAAAAGTAAAGGGCTTTTCTCCCAGTGTCCTCTTGACCTCCATGACCTTATCTGGAAAGAGCTGCTATGAAAGCTTGACCCTCATGGTTACAGCCAGGATAAATGCTCTAAATATTTGGCTCAAGTTCGAAGGGTAGCTGAACCCCACTCATTAGACACTATTTCTGTCCGTTTTGTACACAGAGTTGCATCATAAAGTGCTTTGACCAGACTCCTGCCTGAACTATTCAAGGGCTTCCTTCAGCGTGAAAAAAAGCTGTCCTACTGTGACTATGAACTGAAGATGCCCTGAAAGAGTGCTCCAAAAAAAGGAAACCCTCGTCAAAGATGAGGAGCTGAGTCATACCCAAGATGAGACAAACCAACACCTGTGAGTTTATTATAGATCTTGCCCAATGCCATTGTTTAAGGTCTTTAAAAAATTATTAAAATCTTGGCCAGGCGTGGTGGCATATGCCTTTAATCCCAACACTTGGGAGGCAGAGGCAGGTGGATCTCTGTGAGTTCAAGTCCAGCCTGGTCTACATAGTGAGTTTTAGGACAGCTGGGGCTACAGGAAGACCCTGTCTCAAAAAGACAAAAAAAAAAAAAATTTAAAATCTTGACAATCACACTCATCTATATTCAGGTTGGTAGAAAATAAGGTGATCTCAATCAGATCCAAAGTTATTATCTACAATAGAACGTACGGAAGGTTCATTGAAATTCCACATGGAGTCTTCTCTGCTGACAGCTACTTTAAAAAACTCAAAGTCTTTATTTACCTCTCCTCCAACAATGGAACAAGCCTGGATTTTGACAGTATTTAGGAACCATGAAAGAATTACAGGGTCAGGGCAAAATCTGTCATTATACAGCAGAAAATCTGAAAAGTAGCGTGTTGGCTTAGACCACAGTAGCAACAGTGGGAAGAGGCAAAGACTTTGAAGGCACAGTGAACATATCATTCTTAGGGAAATACAGGATGATTTCTAAGTTTTTAATCTGAACAGTTGGAGAGATAGTGATATAACTTCCTAAGATGGGCAAGTTTGGGAGAGATTTGATTATCATTAAAAAAAAAAAAAGCAAAACACCAAAACCTTTTTAACATATGACTTTTCTTTTAGACATGAAGTAGAGATTTCAAATAAGCAGCTGAATACACAAATAAAAACAGGTAAGTCAGACTGGGAAGTTGTTAACAATGTACGACATTTAAAGTAATATAATGGATGGGGGGCTCCCCAAAGAGGAAAGACAGCAGCTTAGAACCAAGTCTTGGGGCCTACCAACATTCTGAGCTCAGCAAGAGGAAGGGCCATCAGGGAGGAAAAGCAAGAGGAAACGTGAGAGAGACTATAAGGACAGAGATGTTTACAAGAACCCGCAATGTGACAGTAACTACTGACCTTGACAAGAACAATTCCATGGGAAGAGAGAAGACTGAAATTAAGCTTCAAAGGGCTGAAGAGTACATGGGAGGTAAGAAAGCAAAGGCAACTTCTGATATTGTAAAACACAGAAAATCTACAACTAGTAGAAGATGTGGGTCCAAAGAAGGCTTCTGCTGGATAGCAGATACCAGAGCATGTCTCTTTATGACAGGAAGCATTGAGAAGAGAAAAAGAATGTGATGATCCAAGAGTAGTGGTAAAATAATCATCAAACCAAAGTCCTTGGGAAAGGGAGAGAGGACATGAAATGCAAATAAAGGAATTATACTTGGTAAGAGCAAGAATACCATGTCCATGCTAACAAGAAGAAAGCAAAACAATAAGGGTACTAACACAGAGGCCTGAGGATTTGGTGGGGGGGAATAAGGGAGCTTCTTGTGTGATAGCTTTTATTTGAGAAGATGTCATTAGTTAGGCATGAGGAGAGGTGAATGTATCTTGATGCTTTGAGAGAAATGATGTAAAACATTATAGCACAAGGGGCTGGAGACATGGCTCAGTGATTAAGAGCACTGGCTATTACAGAGGACTTGGGTTAAGTTCCCAGCACCCACACAGCAGCTAATAATCACCCATAACTCCAGTTCCATAGGATCCAATGCCCTCTACTGGCCTCCATGGGCACTGCATGACACAGGTGCACTTAACATAAACAGAGGCAAAACATTCATACACATAAAATTAGAATAAATAAATAAATAAATAAATAAATAAATAAATAACCAGAGGGCAGGGGCTGGAGAGATGGCTCAGCAGTTAAGAGCATTGGATGCTCTTACAGAAGACCCAGGTATGAATCCTAGCGCCCACATGGTGGCTAACAACCATCCACTACTCCAGTTCCAGGGGATCTGACACCCTCTTCTGACCCATGGGCATTGCATGACAGGGGTGTACTTACATATGCACACAATACACTCATACACATAAAATAAAATAAAAATAAATAAAATAATTTAAAAAAAATCAGAGGGCAAAATGCACCAAAAAAATGAAGATTTCCAAAACAAACAGTACTGAATACCGACTTTAGGCTGTGTTAATTATGACTAGGTACAACTATCCAGGTATATAATTCTATCCAATAATGTTTAGTGATTTGTACACACAGAGAAGATGGAGTTAAATTTTGACTGCGCATTAGCATGGAAAATATAAGGTATATTAAAATTGTTATTGAAAGTATTTATAAGGGAGTCATTATAATAAAGGATCAGGGCTGGATGCAGTAGGGTTCACCTTTAATCCCAGCACTCAGGAGGCAAAAGCAGATGGATCTTTGTAAGATCAAGTCCAGTCTGGTCTACATAGCCAGTTCCAAACCAGCTAGGGTTACAGAGAGACCCTGTCTCAGAAAACAACAAAACACAACACTAAACTAAAAAAGGATCAGGTAATCTATGCTTATTAAGGAACACGAAAAAAAAGAAGGATAAGACAGGTACTGGGTACATCATCTAGGTGAATGTTAAATTAAAAAAAAAAAAATCACACAAAGTTGCAAGTTTGGACAGAAAGGAAAACAGAAGAGCTAGTCTTCAAAGAACAGAATGACTAGCAGTTCAGTCTAAGGTGAAAAGGAAAGGCAGAGGAGGTGAGGAAATGTCAGAGGAACTGGAGTAGATGAAGGAAAAAAGGAAGAGAAATAAAATTATTTGGAAGGTGGGGGCTGGAGAGATGGCTCAGCAGTTAAGAGCACTTGTAGAAGGCTCAGGGTTTGAATCTCAGCACCCGCATGGCAGCTAACAGCTGTCCTAACTCCAGTTCCAGGGGATCTGACAGCCTCTTCTGTCCTCTGGAGGCACCGCACAACACAGGTACACTTACCTACATGCACGCAATACACGCATACACATAAAATAAGTAAAATATTTTAAAAATTATTTGGAAGGCATTTGAAGACTCAGCTTACTTCCTGGCTCTCAAGTATTGTAAAGTATGGGGTTTTAGGGTACAGATCTTTTTCTTGGGGATAAGTGGGCTATTCAAGAAGTCAGTGGAGATATTTCACTGATTAAAGTACTTTCCCACAGTGTGAAGTTTCCCATACATGTAAGACACATTTAGCAATTCTTAAAATGCAGATTCCCCATTCCTATCAAATCTACTGAGAGTCACAGGAATAGCCTTGACCATCTTTGATAAGGAAATAAATAACATACAGAACTCAAGATGTACCTTTCCTAAAAAGTCGTATCTTTTTTAATACATGGGAAGTATATAAGGTTAAGGATAATTGTCCTAGGAAAAGAAATGTTTCCATAAGTGCCTTTTTAAAAAATGTCTTAGTGGGACTGGAAAGATGGCTCAGCAGTTAAGAGCACTGACTGCTCTCGCAGACTTGGGTTTGATTCCCAGCACCCGCATGGCAGCTACGAACAACTACAGTTTGAGGGGCATCTGAAGCCTTCTTCTGATCTCCGTGGCACTGCATGACACTGGTGCACTGATATACATGCAGGAAATACACTCATACACATAAAATAAAAATAATAAAAAAAAGTCTTACACAGATTTACTGTTTTAAAATATGGATGAGCATAACTATTTAATTCAGAAAGAACTACTTGTCCTGTGGGGGAGGACGAAGGTCTACTAGATGAAGCTTATGTTTCTATTAGGGGGGAAAAAAGGAAAAAAAAACACATTTTTTTGTTTGTCTACTACATAACTGATCTATAGAAGAACCAGTACATGGAAGGTTTATTTTCTTGAGCTAGATTTCTTTCAGGGCCAAGCAGGACTCTCAGGCTCAAGGTAACTACTTTTCTTTCTTGGCTAAGATTAATTTAAAACAAAACAAAACAAAACAAAACAAAACAAAACAAAATTCCTCTAGAGGAACAGTCAAGGCATTAGGCCACAAACATTTTTTAATTAAAAAATTTTTTTTAATTTTTATTTTTAGTGTGTATTTTGCCTGAATGTCATGTTGTGCAATGCTCACAGAAGCCAGAAGAGGGCATTGGATAACCTGAACTGGACTCACAAATGGTTGTTAGCTGCCACGTGGGTGTTGGGAGCTAAACCCGGGTCTTCTGCAGAAATAGCCAGTGCTGCTTAATTGCTGAGCTATCTCTCCAGCCTCAACTTTTTTGATTTAAGTAAGGCACTACGTCCGAACAAAAATAAAATCACCAAGTCTGGCTCCTTGAATGAGCAAATTCCATGAGACTTTTCTTCATCTGCTATGTCAGTAGTAAAGCTTATCAAACTATGAATAGGACAGAAGAGCCTTCTGGATATTCTGAAGAACCCAGCAAAACCCAATTATACAAGAATAACATCACTTGGTTGTAGGAATATCACATCTCATGCATAAAACATGGTACTTACTTTCCTCTGACATGCTAAGGTTTGAAGCAAGATTTGATGTTTCAGGTTTCTGATCACTGACATCCGGGTTGTTTACTTGACTAGGAGAACCAAAATGAACACATTAGGCCCTGAGTGATTTGCTGCATTGCTAAAAATGATGTGGTCAAATCCATTTCCTCACAGACTCTCCCTCCCAGTCAGAAGTAAATCTTGATGATCTCCTTATCCTTGGCCTTTACCAAATGAATTGAAAGAGGGAAGGCCAGGTTAATCCCATCACAGTTCTACAGTTCCTTTTCATGTCCCCAGTCCCCTTAGTTTTATATTGCTTAGGAGTTCCAGATAAGTCACAGGCAAGTCAATTTTTTTTCTAAAATCTATTTTTTAAAAAATCCTAAACATCTAAAAATCCTATAACTTAAAAAAAATACTGTATATATCATGCATACATGAATCAATGTTTTGGTATGGTTACATTACGAAATGGTAAATCAAGGTAGTTAACAAATCCATCACTTCACATACTTATCCTTTGTAGAAAAACATCTGCAATCTATTCCTTTAGTAATTTTGAAGTATACAGTACTTTATTTCCACACCTTTCTGCCTATTTCTTTGGTTAAATATGACAAATAGGAAAACATCTAATTTCAGGGTGGTTCATCATCAGTTACAAATTATGATCTAAAAATTTAAGATTAAATGTTTCCAAGTGTGGTGTGGTGGTGAACATCTTTAATCCTAGCACTCGGGAGGCAGAGGCAGAGGCAGGCAGATCTCTGAGTTTGAGGCCAGCCTGGTCTACACAGTGAGTTCCAGGCCAGCTGGAGCTACAGGGAAACCCTGTCTCAAAAACGCACACAAAAAAGAGTGCAGATTCTAAATGCATGTGGTGGCGACTCACTTCTAATTCTACGACTTGGGATGCTGAGGCAAAAGGATTATTAGGCGTCTGAGGCCAGCATGAGCTACACAGTTTAAGGCCAGCCTGAACTACAGAGACCGACTTCATCTCAAAAACCTAACCAACTAACTAGACTTAACTAACTAACTAACTAACTAACTAACTAACTAACTAACTAACTGTACTCTAGAGCTAGACTGCCAAGTTCATATTCCACTCTCCCAATAACTAGCTTTATGGCTTGGACAAGTGATGAAATTCTCTATACCTGTTTCTTAATTGTCAGTGAAGATAAAAACAGAACCTACTTTATAGGGTTATAAGGACAATGAAAATACATAAAAAGTAGGTAAATCCAGAACATGATAAGCACGCAATAATCGCAAGTGTCACATTACTTATTTCTAGCCCATGCATTCTTCCCTCATTTATGCTGCCTCATAAAAGCCTGATTTACTTACATACTCTAGGGAGAGGTAGAGGACACTATGCCAAAGGCCCCATACAGCTGAGGATAAAAATGATTAACCAGAGGTAAAAGTAGTTTCTACATTCCAAAATTTAAAGCTCTTGTATTATTTCTAAAACCAACTTCCAATATTAAAGTATTTTTTTTGTATACTTTGCTTTTTTGGCTTTAAAAAAAAAGTTTTATTTATTATTTTTATTTTATGTGTATGAGTGTATTGCCTGCATGTATGTGAGTGTACCCATGTCGTGCAATGCCACGGAGGTCAGAAGAAGGCTTCGGATTCCCCTGGAACTGGAGTTAAGGACAGTTTGTTAGCCGCCATGTGGGTGCTGGTAATTGAACCCGGGTCCTCTGCAAGAGCAGTCAGTGCCCTTAACCATTGAGCAATCCCTCCAGACCTTTTTTTTTTTTTTTTTACCTTTTGCGACAGGGTCTCCCTTGTAGCCCCAGCTGGCCTGGAACTTATACAAAGACCAGGCTGGCCTCCAACTCACAGAGATCTGCTTGCCTCTCGTCCATAGTGCTGGGATTAAAGGCATGCACCACCACGTCCAGCTATTTTTTGGCATACTCTGAATGTTCAGTTAATTTTTCCTCAGGAACATCTAATTTTTAAAGCTAAAGTCTCAAATGAAGTTATTTTTATCTCTACTCAAATTCTTACACATTTGTAACAATAATGTACCACCAAAGTTATGACTTGAAAGGGTCAGAAATTACATGGATTAGTTAAATCAGTGGAGGTCAGATCATTATAATGATCTGAATTTTTGAGAAAGGACTTCTGAGTTCTCCTCTCACACCTACTTAAATAGAATTCACACAGAAAGAACATGAAACTCTGGACCAAAATGTCACAATAGTTTGCCTTTTCTGTATACTTGGATAAACCTGAGTTTCACAGTTAACACTTACTACTGAAGACTATTTAGATTTTGTATCTTAGAAACAATATTTACATGTCTTAATATACATTGGACACATCAGTTCTAAAGATTTTCTAGAATTTTAAGTCACAGCGAAAATCTACTACATATTAAAATAGAAACATAGCACCAAGATAGTTGATTTAAAGTGACAAAAAAGCAAAACACCCAAACTTCATAAAGTGAATAAATGGACAAATACCACCTTCTCATTAAACAGAACCCAACTATTATCAACACGACTAACAAAAGAAAAATAAAAAAAGACAAACAAAAATATTCAACTTTAAAAGGAAATTCTTGCTGGGCGTGGTGGCACACGCCTTTAATCCCAGCACTTGGGAGGCAGAGGCAGGCGGATCTCTGTGAGTTCAAGGCCAGCCTGGTCTACATAGTGAGTTCCAGGACAGCTGGGACTACAGGGGAGACCCTGTCTTAAAAAGACCAAAAAAAAAAGGAAATTCTTATAAAAATGGATGCATCTTGAAGGCATTATTGCTAAATTACAAAAAAATGTATATGCATATACATACACATACATACACATATGAATTTCATTTACATGAGGTTATTAGAATAGTCAATTCTACAGACTAACCCCACAAAGACAGAAAATACAATGGAGGTTGTTAGCAGCTGGGAAGTTTGGTTTTATGGAAAGACAATAAAGTTACAGAGATGGATGGTGCTGGCTGCAAAAGCAAGCATACATGATGCTGCTGAATTATACTTTTTAAAATGGTTTGAAGGGACTGGAGAGATGGCTCAGCGGTTAAGAGCACTGACCCGGGTTCAATTCCCAGCACCCACATGGTGGCTAACCACAGTCTGTAACTCCAGTTTCAGAGGATCCAATGCCCTCTTCTGACCTTCATCAGGATTCCGTGACACAGGTGCAGTTACACACATGCAGGCAATACACTCATACACATTAAAAAAAAAAAATTAAAATAAATAAAAATGGTTTAAGGGCCAGTGAATATAATTTAGCTCTTTCCTAGCATGCGTAAGGCCCTGAGTTCAATCCCCAGTACAGGAAGCAGAGGGAGTAGGGGAGATAGTTTAAGACTGGGCATGGTGATAAAAGCCTGTAAATCCTAGTACTCAAGAGACTGAGGTGGGAGAATCACAAGTTAAAGGCCAACCTGGCCTACATACTAAGACCCTATCTCAAAAATGGGGGAGAAGAAACTCAAATGTTAAATTTTGTTATGCATACTTCATCATAATTTAAAAATTTACCAAAGGAAAGAAAATAGCTAACTGTAGGAAAAGACAAATTTGATAGGTTCTATAGCATGACAAGGAGAAAAAACTTCACAGGCAAAAGAAGTAGAAAATACCCAGATAAGTAGATTTAGTGATAATGTTTCTATTTTAATGTCTCTAATTTATCTCTGACTTAGGGAGCAAGTTCCCTAACCAAGTGAATAAAAATAGGGGGAAGGAGAGAAAAGGGAGAGGACAGGAGCAAAGATGAAGGGAAAGAGAGACAAGATGATTTTCGACGCTGGGAAATCAGATACACCAGGAAGAGGGCCACGTGTGTCTCTGAGATATAACCATGAGTGGAATGGAAGCTGAGCCAGTATAGCCTTGTGTTACACCTACTACATACAACCTTATGAAGATTAGGATATGCATGGAATAGAAGGATAATTGGGTTCAAGCAAGGTTGTCCTTTGATGGCAAGCATGATACAGGAAAAGGGAGGGAGTTAGTTAATGTTTGCAAGGGACTGGTTACAGTGGTAATCTTTTAATTAAACTAGTATAAAGAAGAAACTGAAATTCTTTTTGAGAGAGAGATCAGTGGGTAATGAAAATATGCCACATTTATTTAAACGTGAAGTAGGAGCTACACGTATGGTCCAACTGGCAGTTCAGGAAAAATGAGCTAGAGTTGGAGTGGCTCAAATGGAGCAAGAGTGGTGGTCTTAAAATAATGTGTTGGAAGTGATGCATTTACTGGCTCAGAGATGGTTGGTAGGCAACTGACAGGAGGTAAAAACTGGAAAAATGAAAACCATGATGACATGGGAGACAGAGCATAGGGTGCAAAAAACCCTGCATCTTTCCTGTAAGAGTGGAACTAATGTTTAAGGCATCCCATAGTCAACCGCTAATGCCAAATTCCTTGGATTTTCCTTATTTCAGCTTTTCCTTCCTAGTTTTCTACTGTACATCTGAATATTGCATTTTTTCATTTATGAATTTCTCCATATACAACAAGTGCCTAATACAGAAGATAAGCTCAGTATCAATATTATTGTTCAATAAATAATGAATGTGCCAGGCGTGGTGGCATATGCCTTTAATTCCAACACTCTGGGGGGAAGGGCAGTGGGTCTCTGTGAGTTCAAGGCCAGCTTGGTTTCCACAGCAAATCTAGCCAGCTGTGGCTTCGGGGAGAGAGACCCTGTCTCAAAAAGACCAAATAATAATAATAATAATAATAATAATAATAATAGTGAATGCATAACAAAAAGATTAGTACATGTAATGGGGGGTATTTGGGAGAGTTGAGTTTTTGTTGTTATTTTGGAGGTGAAGTCTTGTTGTGTTACCCACACTAGTCTCTGACTTGTGCTTAACTAGTCCTATTGTGAAGAGAAATTTTAATCTGAAACCAGATAATTTCAAAATGTAAAGGCTGATAAAAAACCAAAAAGGAGGCAGTCAACACAAGGAGTCAGTTACCACATGAAAACAAACCAACCAAAACTAGATCATTAAAAAGAAATTTGATTTTACATACCTTAAAGACTGCTCTCCTGGCTCCTGCATCTTGGCTTTTTTCACCTGCAGACATCAACACAAGGAAATCAATGCAGTAATCTGACTGAAATCCTAGCTATTCAAACACAATTACCCCTCAGTATCTTCAGGGACTGGGTTCCAGGAACCCTCATTGATACCAAAATCTGTGGGTGCTCAAGTCCTTTACATAGCCCACCACACGTTCTTATGTACTTTAAATCCTCTCTAACATCTAATTACATCATCTAATGCAATCTAAATACTATATAAAAAGTTGTTATACTATATTGTTTAGAGAATGAGAAAGTCTATAATACGTTCACTAGAGAATAATCTTTTTGGTCCAGCATCTTTTTTTTAAATATTTTATTTATTACTTTTTAAAATATTTTTAAAAATATTTTATTTATTATTTTTATTTTATGTGCATCCATGTATTGCCTGCATGTAGGTTAAGTGCACACATGTCATACAATGCCCGCAAGCGAAGCCAGCCATGGTCGAGCAGGACCTTTGACTTATCTTCACATAGGCAGAACTGGTATAAGAAAGGAGCCAGGGGCTCCTCCCAAGCCCATGTGACCCCTGAGGAACAGCTCCTCAAAGGACCTTAAGAGTAAAAATAAATTGGTTTATCTGGGACAACTGTATGGCCCTAAATACCCAAAAGGAAAGTATAACCAAAGAGGACTGACTCAAGTTCAAGAAATATTTCAAAAAGAAAAATAAGGGGGCTGGGGATCCCTCAGTTAGTAAAGTGCTTGCCTGGCAGGCAATCATAAGTGGTGGAACATGCCTAATTCCACACACAATCAGGAGGTAGAGGCAGAAGGATCAGGAGTTCAAGGGCATTCTTGGCTTCCTAATTCAAAAATCAAAACAACAACAGTTTAAACAAACAAACAAACAAACAAAAAAATCAATGGGGGCTGGAAAGATGGCTCAGAGGTTAAGGGCACTGGCTGTTCTTGCAGAGGAACCGATTTTGGTTCCCAGCACCCACATGGCAGCTGACTATTGTCTGTAACTCCAGTTCTAGGGGATTCAACACTCGAGGAGATTATTACACACATATTATACACATTTCCACAGCTTATTACATACATGCAGGCAAAACACTCATAAGCATAAAATAAAAACAAATCATTTTTAAAAGCCAGGTGTGGTGGCACATGCCTTTGATCCTAGCACTCTGAGGTAGAGGCAGGAGGGTCTCTGTGAGAATAAGGCCAACCTGGCTTACATAGCAAATTTCAGGCTAGCCAACCAGGAAGACCCTGTTTCAAAAAGACATAAATAATGACATAAATTAAATAAATAAATAATGAGACACCCCCCCAAAAAAAAACTTATTACAACAAAAGGTAGAAACTGCTAGATAATTCAAACAGAAACCCAGATGAAAGCACAGCTATTCACAGCTTATACTATGTTCAATGCTGCCTTAATTTCCATAGGTACCAAAAAAAGAAAAAAAGGGGGGAGGGCAGGGAACTTAGGAATTTAAAAAACAAAAGTACAGAACCATTTAAAACAAAACAAAACCATGAGGTAGGTAAATCATGATTAGCCATGGTACTAAATCCAAAAGCCAAAAAGGAAAAAATAAGTTATCGTTACACAAAAAATATAAAACTTTTATGATAGTAATTATTAAAAGTCAACCAAGAGGTTGAAGGACTCAGGCTAAGATGCAGACTGTGACAAAAGAATTTCAACTGAATTATAAAAGGGCAACACACAGCTGGGTTTGGTGGCACACCCCTTTAATTTAATCTGGCACTCAAGAGGCAGAGGCAGAGGCAGGTGGATCTCTGAGTTCCAGGCTAGCTTGGTCTATATAGCAAGTTTTGGGCCAGTCAGGGCTACATTGAGATCTTGCCTCAAAAAACTAAAACAAAAAACAAAACCACCCAAAACTACAAGTACAGTATAATCTTACTGGAAAGTGGAAAGAGTAAAGATATCTGGCCTAAGTAACAAGGAAAATGTTTTGACTAGAAACTGAGTTGAAATATCAGAAAAAATTCAATTATCTGATTTACTGCTTGTCATAATTTCACAAAAGACAAAATTATCAGCTCTTATTATAAAATGTATTATCCTTCCTACTCAAAGATGATACATTTATATAACATCAGACAATAATGTACTTTTCAAATAGTAAAGTAACTCATTCAAAGATCCTTTTAGCAATCAAAGAAATATATTTATGAGCTTGTTCGCTGAGTAATCAAAACGTTCTGTGATCTCTAAAGAGTAACCCATACAAAGAAAATGAGAGCATTCGGTAATCTAACATGTCACGGTCTTAATTTTATTAGAGCCATAAACAACACATTTAATTCAATATACTCGCCCCCAAATGTCCTGGAGCAAAACAATTTTTAATTCATATACCTTATAACTTGTTTCGGGAAACAAAAGACCTAAAATACAGAAGTGGTCTCATCAGAATAAAATGAGGCTGAAAAAATCCCTCTTGGCTAGTGACATTGTAATGGTGTTTACATGTACTGGTGTAAACCTACTGACCAGCCATATGAAACTATAGCACATACCAACTATGTACAGTACATAATACTCAGTAACAATAACAATAATTATTACAGTACAGTTTATGTATTTACTGTTCCAGTCTTGCTTCAACTGGTAATGCCCTGACAGATTCCCCAATGTAAAAAGCTGTAATGAATTCTGATTGATGGTCATCCTATCATTAGAGTATTCTCTTCCATGTCTTCCTGATCGGGAACATAATGATAAACAAGATATAGCACTTGACCTCAAGAAACTTACACTCTAACTGAAAACAAAAGTTAAGTAGCTAAAGATGGCAGCCCACATTCAAAATCCCAGTATTTGGAAGGCTAAGCCAGGAGGACTGCTGCATGTCTGAGGCCTGCCTGGGCTAGAGAAAAGACTATCTCAAAACTAACAAAAAAGCAAACAGGTAATTTATTGAACACTGAGCTAAAGACTTCTGATAATGCTGGGCGTGGTGATGCACGCCTTTAATCCCAGCACTCAGGAGGTAGAGACAGGCGGACCTCTGTGAGTTCCAGGCCAGGCTGTCTCCATTAGCGAATCCAGGCCAGCTGCGGCTACAGGAGACCTTGTCTCAAGAAGACCAAAAAAAAAAAAAAACTTCTGATAATAGGATAAAGTGCTGAACTGCTAGAGAAGGACATGGCCAGGGAATGTAGGGACACAGGTTCCAAATCAGAAAGTTTTCCTGAAGGAAGTACTAAGACAGTTACTTTCAAGATTTTTCTCCCTGTTTGAATAAGCTCCTACCAGATACACCTCACATAACATTCTATGCCTGCAATTCAACTGAGAATTATTGGTTTATGTTGAACTTGACAAACCGGATTTAGTCAGGTAAAGAGGAGGAATTTACATTTTTGAGTGGGGGAAATAAGACAACGTAGAGGGTGGGCATAGTGGTCCAAGCCTTTGATCCCAGTACTTGGGAGGCAGAGGTAGGTGGATGCCTGTGAGTTCAAGGCCAGCTGGTCTACATGGTGAGTTCTAGGCCAGCTGGGGCTACAGGGAGACCTTGCCTCCAAAAGACCAAAAAAAAAAAAAACAAACAAACAAAAACCATGACAATGTAGAGAGTGAGCAGACATAAAAAGTGTTCACAGAAAAGAAAGAACAGAAAACTCCATCTACTGAAATCATTACACTGGGAGCAATGAGCCCAAGGGAAAAGACAAGAACGCTGTAGCAGGCGGCAGCAGCCTAACTACAGTCCCAAGAAACCAGATGAAGTTCAGTTCTACCTTGAGGATAATGAGGAGTCTGAGCATTTGCAAGATAACTTAATCCACTCTGAATTTTAGAAGATCATTTTGATAAAATATAGAAAACAAGTAAGAGGGAAACAATACTAAATGTAAGAAAACCTAAAGAGGCTGTTGGATCAGAGTGTATGGGAGAAGATACCCTAAAAATAAATTTCAGAGTAAACTAAAAAGCACAGCTGGACTGTGCTGGTCTCATGATATACTATCTTCTAAAATGCACTTCATTTTTATTACTGTATTTATGTTTTTAAAAAGATTTATTTATGTGCATGTTTTGCCTACATGTATATATGAATGTTCACCACCTGTGTTCAATGCCCATGGAGGTCAGAAGAGAATATTGGATTCCCTGGAACTGGAGTTACAGATAGTTGTTAACTGCCATATGAGTGCTGGGAACACTACCCAAGTCTTCTGCAAGAGCAGTCAGTGTTCTTAGCTGCTGAGCTGTCTCTCTAGCTCTCACTTCATTTTTACATTTTTTTTTTTTTTTTTTTTTTTGCCTTTTTTGGTCTTTTTTGAGACAGACTCCCTGTAGCCCCAGCTGGCCTGGAACTCATTATGTAGAACAGGCTGGCCTTGAACTCACAGAAATCTGCCTGCCTCTGCCACCCAAGTGCTGGGATTAAAGATGTGAACCACCCCCCCGGCTATAATTTTTTTAAAGTGTATGAGTATACTGCCTGCATGTGCATAAGTGCACCCAGGTAGTGCAGTGCCCATGGAGGTAAGAAGATGGCATCGGATACCCTGGAACTGGAGTTAATAGTTATTAGTCATCGTGTGGGCACTGGAAACCAAACCCGGGTCTTCTGCAACAGTAGTCAGTGTTCTTAACCACTGAGCCATGTCTCCAGCCCCCATTTTTATAATTTTTAAACTATATCTTAATTTCAGGAATTAGGGGGAAAGCTACTAAATCTAAGTCAACAAAATACAAAAACATGCACATCAGCCAGGTGTTGTAGCTCATACCTTTAATTCCAGCACTCAGGAGGCAGAAGCAGGCAGATCTCTGGGAGATTTAGGCCAGCCAGAGTACACAGTGAGCTGCAGGCAGCTGGGGTTACAGGAGACCCTGTCTCAAAAACCAACCCCAAAACATACACATACATACATAAAATGTAAATATATACTTGTATTCCTATCTACTTCTGCTTACTGAAATTCTGGTAACATATGACGGAAAAATAGCTACTTAAATAATTTTTGTCCCTTAAACACACAGGACATAAAACTGACATTCTTTAGTCACAACATAATATGATAAAGACAGAATAAAATAATAGTACCTAGACTTTTTTTGGAGGGAGACGCATTTCTAATAAAAAGGTTAATAGTGGGGGGGAAATAATTAAGTTACCAATAACTTTGTTATGTTATCATAAGCAACCTTCCAAAATGCAGTAATCCTATCTCCAGATCAGGACCCTCTCTGATGGTTATAGAGCTTCTACTTGAAAAGGAGACTATAAAGAGGAGCTCTGAATAGAAATATCTAGAGGGTGAGGAGATAGCTCAAAAGCACCTGCTTATCAGGTGCAAGGCCCTGTGTTCAGTCTTTAGGACTGCAAACAAACAGAAATGGACTAACGGAAGGAAGGAAGGGAGGGAGTAAGGGAGAAACAAAAGCAAAGGGTTGGCAGTGGGGGAACCTCACTGCAGCTGACATTGTGTGTAACCCTGAATAAATAACGCTATTATACTCTGGTACTTGGAAGAATTTTTCTCAGTTTTCAATGATACTGGCATGCCCACGTGGTCACACAGTTACCTTTATAGATATCTGGAACACAGATCAGTAAGAAAGTAATCCCCTAAAATAATAACCACATCAGCAGATATTTTGGTTTTAAAGTGTTTCCTCTAAAGTAACAATTAGTTTTTGCCTATAATGTCAGAGAACCAAAAAGAATGAGAAGGAAAGGAAGCAAAGCAGAAGAGATGGCTCATTAGCAGGTCGGTCACAATTTTCATTAAACAGGCAAGGCATAACAATGGCCATTTCAACAGCATGTCAACATTTATGAAGTCTTTTTGAAATTATATGTAGACTTTTGTCTTACTATATTAAATACTCAATGACCTAGTTTTCCTTGGTACATTTAGTGTCTAAATTCAGCTGTTTCCTTCAATAGTGTATATCCTACATATACTATTTGAGGTGATTTTTAACACTACTGCTCCTCTGATTATTAATAACCCACCAAAGATAGGGGGTCACATTTAAAAATTTTAAAAGGTCTTTTTACTAGTTGTTTAAGTCCTCCTAACTTTTATAGTTACCTCAACTGAGAGGACTAAAAGAATAATGGCAAAGTAATCATCAGCATGCAATTCTTAACATAAGAGAACGTCAATACTCACTTTATAACGCTGAATGCTCGAAACACGTTCCTTAACATTAAGTAAGTATAAAAACATGCAACACACCAGGCAAAGTAGTACACATTTGTAATCCCACAACAGGGAGGCTGAAGCAGGAGGATCACAAGTTTGAGGCCACCATGGGCTACATATAGCAAGACTCTATCTCAAAAGCAAAACAAAATGAACAAAGGAACACGTAATACTATTTTCGTAGAAATTTCTATGGAATCTGTTCTTTTCATTTCAACTTTGGATTCTGTAAGTATAATGGAACAATATAAATCTCTCCAGATTAGCTTTTCTATAACCAACTTTAAATTGAAGGAAATACTTACCGGTTGCTCTGGTAAATCTTGCTCTTCTTCCATGAGGACCAATGTTTCTTTATTAAACTTCTATGACTGGATTGCAAGTCTCTGCAGTCTTCACAATCTGTTTTTAAAGAGGGGGATTCAAAGCTTTATATAAAGTATTATCATTGAGGCCATCAGAGAATAATTTTTTTAATATTTTGCTACTCCAGGCTTTCTACGTTACTTCCAATCTCAAAATCTCAAACTTGCACGTGGCTTTTCAAAATTGACATGCTGCCCTAAGTCACAAAAGTCACTGTACACAATGACTTTTATAATACCTTGAAAAGCCACCGTAGAAGCACTTCTAGTTACGACAGTGCCTAATGCACTAAACACTTTACAGTGACGGCCATGTGCAGATAATAAAACAATTTTTTTTAAGGATTAGAGTTACATTTAAAATGATAGAGACTGGCCTAGAAGGTCAGTAAGTTACGATAACATCTAACCTGCTTTAATGTGGAACATTTACATAACTGTTAACACACACAGAATCACTTTAAATAGGACAAACTAGAAAATCAATTAAATATATTCACAAATCAACTATCTATATGTAATCAATTTAAATGAAAATGTAATTCTTCTGGATCCCAGTAAAGGCAAATAAACACGTAAAATGAAACCTTAACTACTAGAATTAAAGAAAAATAATCATGTAAAGCTAGGATCCAGCTCAATCTGAAATGAGCATCCACTAAACACAGTGCCTCAGCATCTAGTCAAATAAAATCCACATTTTCAAACCCTGTTCCTCCTGTCCTAATTTTTAAACAAGTAAGAAAAATGGGATTCTATATTCCATATTTATTGGTAAAACCTCCTTTCTTTAACCTGTTCATAGAAGATACATCATAAAAATAAGATGTGCCGGGCGTGGTGGCGCATGCCTTTTAACCCCAGCATTTGGGAGGCAGAGGCAGGCGGATCTCTGTTGAGTTCAAGGCCAGCCTGGTCTACATAGTCAGTTCCAGGACAGCGGGAGACCCTGTCTCAAAAAGACCGAAGGAAAAAAAAAAAAAAAAGAGACGTTCCACACCCGGGCATTGTGGCACATGCCTTTAGTCCCTTGGAAAGCAGAGGCAGGTGATCTCTGTGAGTTCAAGGCCAACCTGGTCTACATAATGAGTTCCAGGCCAGCTGGGGCTACAGGGAGATCCTGTCTCAAAAAGACCCCCTCCCAAAAGAAAAACAAATGTTCCATTTCTAGTTAACTAAGATTGGTTTTGTCCCAAACAGATCTAATTGTTTATGCTCTTTAAGTTACACCTGATTTCCCCTACCAACCATTGTTCCCAATTATACATACTGTTAAAGTAAGTCCAGAATCTTCCTACAGAAATAAGGAAAACAACATGAATAGGGAAAGAAAAAGTTTCAGTTCTAGAGCCACATATAAGAACAGGAAAAGGACAGAAAATAAGTGTAAGGAATACAATTAGATGAAAAGTGTTGACAATTAGATGACACAGCTTTACTCCCTGCTCTGGTCTTAAATGTCGAAAGAAAAAAAGTTTCAAGGCCAATGCATGATGCTCAATGCACTCACGTGTAATTAGCTCATACACTGAGCCTCACAGCTGTTTTCCTACTATATGACGCAGATAACCAGCACTGCAGAATTACAGGACGCAAAACTGAAAGCTCACGGGCATGATTTTCCCCGGCCTTATTTTGCTCAACACAGATGAGTGCAGTCTATATGACCATGAAAAGGATTTATAATTGTGAAAAATGAAACATTTTCGCCTTACCAGTTTATGACCATCTTAGTCTTAAATTAAAATTTCTTTATGGGATTACAGCAGTACATAAAACTACACATATGATTTCAACCTGTAAAAACGAGAAAAATGGGATCAAAGCATTAGAGAAATATACTGCCTTGACTCCACTGTTGAAACTGTGCCATGCACTCCTCGACTGAGGGACACAAATGTAGAAACTGGAAACTCTAGTATGTTCTTAGCAAGAAGGAGAGGAATCTCATCTGCAGTAGAGGTTATGGATCCATGTTATAAAAAAGATACCTGGTAACATGTTCTTTAATTTTGCTTTTAATTTATTTGAAAAAAAACCACTAACATTAAAAAAAAAGATTTCTAGATCAAAAGGGTTGTGAGTAAAAAAAGAAAAGGAAAGAATAAACACTTGAGTGCTAGGGAATCAAATGCTCAGATTACCCAGAACAAAATATTAAAATCCTGGGCTATTTTTGAGATGAATTTTTGTAGTAAATTACAACTTCTTCTTTATGGAAAAAAAAAAGAAATAATTCTTTCTACCTCTTCTTTGAAAATAAATACTCTTCTTATTAATGTCTTAAAAATTACCAGTATCTTCTCAGTCTTTCAACTGAGGGGAATAAAAAGGATGTTATTTCTGTTTTAGAGAAAAGAATTTTGAAAAATCAGGCTTGATATTTTAAAGTAACTGGTCAATGACCAGCAACCATTTCATCATTTTAAACCAAAACTGGGTGTAGTGGTACACACCTGTAATTCCAGCACTCGGAAAGGAGGATTACTGCAACTTTGAGGCCAGCCTAGACTACACAGTGACAAAATAAAATCAAATAAAAGTAGCCTTCAAAGAAAGAATATGATTTATTATCCTGGGATTGTATAGACAACTATGGTATTCAGGACATTTTCAAACACATACTCTACTACATTTGTGGATAAAATGTACTAATAGTAAGAAACTGTGTGATTCTATTACAATACGCATCTAAGGACTACTTGCCATCAATAGAATACGCTTCCTTCCAATGATTTGGAAGTTATTTGTTATTATTATTTTTTAATTTTATGTGTATGAGTGAGGGTATTGCCTGCATTGTAAGTAAGTGTACCCATGTCCTGCAACGCCTGCAAAGGTCAGAAGAGGACATCAGATCCCTTGGAACTGGAGTTATAGACAGTTGTTAGCTACCATATTAGGTGCTGGGAATTGAACCCGGGTCCTCTGTAATACAGAGCAGACAGTGCTCTTAACTGCTAAACCATTTCTCCAGCCCGATTTGGAAGTTAAAATATAAGAATATATTATAAGAATGCAAGTATTTTTCACACTCTCAACATTTAATCAATGTGCTAAAATTTGTATTTCTACTTTTACATTTTTGTGTGATGCTAGAGAGCAAACTCAGGGCTTCACGCGTGCTAAGCACACACTCTACCACTGAACGTATTATATAGCCAACCATAAAACTTTTAGTATTATTTCACATCAATATTTCAAAAAAAATCTTATTTTTATTTTATGTGTATGAGTGTATTGACTGCAAGTACATAAATGCACCCGTGTCATGCAATGCCTGTGGAGGTCAGAAGAAAGTGCTGGATCCTCTGGAATTAGAGTTATGGATGGTTGTCAGCTGTCATGTTCGTGCTGGGAACCAAGCCTGGGTCCTCTGCAAGAGCAGCCAGTGCTCTTAACTGCTGAGCCATCTATCCAGCCCCTCACATCAATATTTTAATTTACATATGTTATATAATCAAAAGTCACACTCACTAGCAATTAGAAGAAAGTATTGTATAACATAGATACAATACTTGGCTCCAGTTTTGGTAGTAGAAAAGCACAGTTATTACAAGAGAAAGTTTTAATGCTACTAAAATGAACATAATAAAAACTTACTCAATAGTTCATAAAATGACAAAACACGCCCTGCACTCATGCTTTGGTTTAAGTTCCTTTAGGGTACTTGGGCAGTAAAGTCTCTTCACATTTTTCAAATTTCAGTTCTTACTGTTGGTTTCTAATTACACTTGTTTTATCACATTTTCTGAAGATGAGAACTTGTCAGTATTCATCTGCTTTTATGGAAAGAATTCAAGAAAGTATAAAATCAAGGGAAATAAGACTCCCGAGATTTCACATTTCCCTACACGCAAAGAGTGACAATGGAAAAGGCAAAAAACTGGTTTGCTTCAAAAGGTGACAATTTTGTACTTTCTTTTTCTTATTTTCAAATAAAACTGGATCTCCACTTGTAGAAGAATGAACTGGATCCTTATCTTTCACTTTCACCTTGCACACAAGTCAACTCCAAATGGATAAAAGACCTCAATGTGCAACTGGAAACCCTGCAACTATTAGAAGAAAATATAGGCAGTAACTAACAAGATAAAGGTGTAGGAAAGGATATTCTAAATTGGACAGAAGTTACTCAGGAATTAAGGTCAGCAATCAATAAGTGGGACCTTCTTAAACTAAAAAGCTTCTGGGGGCTAGAGAGATGGCTGAGCGGTTAAAAGCACTCACTGACTGCTCTTACAGAGGACCCAGGTTCGATTCCCAGCACCCAGATGGTGGCAACAAACCATCTGTAACTCCAGTTCCAGGGAAATCCAAAGCCCTCTTCTAACCTCTGCAGCATTGCATGACATAGGTGCACTCACATACAAGCAGGCAATACACTCGTACACATAAAAATGAAAAATGAAAATAAGCTTCTGTACAGCAAAAGAAACAAAGAAGTGAAAAGAAAACCCACAGAGTGGGAAAAAATCTTCACCAGTGACACATCTGACAGAGGTTTAACATCCAGAATATATAAAGAACTCAAAACACAAAGAAGCAAGAAACCAAATAACCCAGTCTTAAAAGGTGCTCAACATTATTAGTAATTAGGGAAATGCAAATTAAAACCACTTTAAAATGTCAGCTTACCCCAGTCAGACTGGCTAAGATCAAGACAACAAATGGTACCAAATGTTGGAGAGGATGTGGGGAATAGGGAATGCTCATCCACTGCTGGTGGGTTTGCAAACTTGTTCAACCCCTATGGAAAGCATTGTGAAGAACTCTTAAAAAACTAAAATGAACCCATGTTTGACCCACTTATGCCATGCTTTGACATATACCCAAAGGACTCATCCTATTGCTGAGACACTTGTACATCCATGTTTGTTGCTGCTCTTTTTACAATAGCTAAGAGATGGAAGCAACCTCAACTGATTAACAAAAATGTGGTATATTTACACAATGGAGCTCTATTAGCAATAAAGATGAAATAATGAAATTTGCAGGTAAATGGATGGATCTAGAAATTGTTATAATAAGTAACACAGACTCAGAAAAACAAAAGATATATGTTCTCCCTCATTTGTGGATCCTAGCACCAAATCCTTTTATATTCCATGTTCTTTTAATAAAATGATGCTGTACAGCAGTCTCTTCTGTGTGAAATAACTACCATCATCATGACTTCAGCTGTGCCTGCTTGTTAAACATCATCACAATTGGGCTTGTTGATGGTTGTGTGCCTTCATTAAAGAAGGGGCAAGCAGGGTCAGTGGACCCTCACTGGAATATCAGCCATTCTTCCCAGCCAACTATATGTAATTTTGCCCTAATCACACATGGTCTCCTGGATTTGGGGAGGACTATATAATCTGGGGAAGGCTACGAAGAGAAGGGTTGACCCATGGTGGGTAAAGGCTTTCCGGTGTGCATACCCCAGGTCACTCATACACTTCAGCAACCCCTCAGTCATCTCTGTAAGTAAGCTTAGTAAATTCATCGGTTCCCCAGGAAAACTTTAATCAAACATTGATTAGACACTAGAGCCTTAAAAGGGGATAAGCATTGCTTAGTATTCCAAGGAAAAGAATTTTCACAACAGATGGAAAAATTGTTAATGTTGTCTCATAATTATTAAAAAAAATGAGAATGTAAATATTTTCCAAAATAGAAAAAATGAGAAAGCCTAAGCAAGTGATGAAGGTCTGTGTAGGGTTGCTTTGATATATAAAGGATGAGACAAAAAAAAAATACACATAATCTTAAAATTTCTAAGGTCACAGTTTAGTCAACTAATTTAAGGAACAAAATATATGTCTAATCAAGGTTTATCTGAGAATGTTTGGTTTTTGCCCAAGTATCTACATACCACATGGTAATTAAAAGTACCAGACTGGTGGACCTAATCTTCTTGGATGTTTAACAGCAATACTTTGAGGCCTATACTAATCTGGTCAGAGGGACTTAAAAGACAGATTTTGCTCCTTGCCCTCCAAGATCAATAAGTTCCAGGGGACTATGGAGCATCTCTCAAAATGTAACTGTGGTGAGTCACCTATCCTCCTGTTCAGGGAGGCCATGGAAACCCCACCAGATAGACTTGAACCAGTGTCCAGTCTACAAAGAGGAGGGTCAACTCAGAGGAAACATTTCCTCCATGCTTCCAAGTGAAGCCAGCCACAGTTGAGCAGGACCTGTGATCTATGTTCATAGATGGAACTGGTAAAAGGAGCGAGCCAGGGGCTCCTCCCAAGCTCATGTGACCCCCTGAGGAACAAGTCCTCCAACCACCGAAAGAATAAAAATAAATTGGTTTATTTGTGCCAACTGTATGGTCTTAAACACCCAAAAGGAACGTATAATCAAAGATTAAAGTTATCAGTGCCGTTTCTTTAAAAGTTCAATGGATTATACTTCCCGGACATTAGGCTTAAGTCCATATAAAATGTTATTCAGACAATTATTTCTCATTGATGATTTTGTTTCTAAGCAGAAAGTGCTGCCTGGATGTAAGACTTCAAATCTTCTCTGCAATACTGTAGTGCCCACCTGTACCTAAGGGAGATTACACACTATTGTTCTAAAATGATGGATAAATTTGTTTTCTCCCCCCATCTAGAAGTCTTTGAGAGGGAACTGACACTGATTCTAGCCACTCCAACAGCTATCAAAATGCCTGAAAACAAATCCTCACTCCATCACTCTCAAGTCCAGCCTTGGCAGACAAAAGAAAAATGGGGAGGAACCCAACAGATGGATGCTTTTGGAAGCTCTGGTCAAGAAATCCCAACAGACTCTGAAAGGAA